TAGGGCATTGTGCGACGCGGTGAGAAGGGCTGCGACAGGCGAGGCACTTGGTACGGGTAGAACGTGGCGACGACGAGGCAAGGAGGGCCGATTGATCGTTGGAGAGGTTCGTTGACCGGAGTTGAACTCGCATACGGTCGGCCACTGAATCGATGTCAGGGAGAGTTCGTTGCGTGCGTTGTTCGTCGGTGAACGTTGCCTTGAAGCTCTCGAGTGACGGGTGGGCGATCGCGAGGAGGAGTGTGGCAAGGACGTCGTTGATCGTCGTTTTCGTATCGATGATCTCTTGCGCGACCGACTTGAAGTCCATGATCCAACTGTCAAATTCGCCAACCGTTCCGGGCATGGGTCGGAAGCCCCAGAGTCGCGAGAAGAGAGCTCGAGCGTGCGAGTGGCGTCATCAGGGGCGTATCGCGATTTCAGCGTCGAGTAAATCTTGGGCGCTGTGAGGTCGGCCGTAGGGATCTTGTCGAGGACTGCCGAGACTTCGGCCGAGTCGATTGAGTTTGCAAGGATCTCGCGTGCCACGACGTCGCGGGCGGAGCGTTGCGAAGGCGTCCAATCGTCGGGGTGATTCCGTCGAGGACGTAGGAGCGGATGTCGTCCGCTAGGCACAGGCGAAGCTGGCGTGTCCAGTTCGCGAACGTCTTCGGCCCGTCCAACCGCGCATGCTTCGGGAAGGCATTGCGATTGGAGCCGGATGTCGTGGCGGGTGCGGTAGTGCCGGAAGCGCAGCGGTGAGTCCCGACAGCAGCGATGTAAGTGCGGCAAGCTGTTCGGCGGGAATTGTCGGGGTGGCGCTCGTCGCGAGGGTTGACGACGTGTCCATGCCAGCGGTAGCTCGATGGGCTTATAACCTATGAGATGATCACCACTACTGTCAGGAGAAGTCGAGAGTCGAACAGAAGTGATCTATTTCAGCGTACCTATGAGATGATCACCACTACTGTCAGGAGAAGTCGAGAGTCGAACAGAAGTGATGAGAAGGAAGCTAAGAAATGGAAAGGTGGCCCGCGCTGGGATATGCCCAGGCGCGGGCGAAATCGCTGGAGCGCTGAGGCAGTCGCGCGCGGCTAAGTCCCACTGCAAGGGCGGGCTAGCGGCGCGCGCCCGAAAACGCCGGCGCCGGCGCGCTGAGGCACTCGCGCGCGCCTAAGTCCCACCACACAGGGCCAGGCTAGCGCGCGCGCAACGACCGAGGCGCCCCTGTCGAGCTGAGAGTGGACTCTTCACACTTGTTGTGACCCGAGCATAGACTTGGACTTCGCGGTCAGGGTAGCTGCGCAGTCGCTCTCCTGTCTTGCTCGACCGATTGGGAAGTGGGTGCGGGTGGGCCTCTTGTCATTAGTACGCCAGTTCTTTTTCATTTTCTCTCTTCTCTTCTCTCTCTCATTCGTCTCCTGGGGGTAGCAACCGCTTGGCTGGGGCACTGAATCCGAAGTATCGGATTGGTGGACTTGGCCCGTTTCTTGCATCTTGCGGGCGGTTTGTGTTATCATCGTCGACTTCCATCTAGTTTTTCCGTAGGCCAATCAGGGGAACAGGAATTGGGGGCAATATGATGAACGGTTTCTACAAAAAAAACAAAAACACACACACACACACCGCACACAAGTGAGTTTCTGGGTGTAGAGTGAGTAGTTGACCTCCAGCCCATTAAGCTTTACAGGTCAACACAACACGCGATGCCGGATCCGCCCGGCGCCATGCGCCCCCGCCCGAGGACCTATTGGTGGTAATGGCGCGAGTGATTCATCACTCAACCGCAAACGTGTGAAGTGGTCACTGGAGGAACCACGAATCCTCCAGCTTGGTCGCCCGAGGCAACTCAGGTCCAGTTGGACCATGAGAAGCTGATGAAGAAGACCTTCCAAGTGCTCGGGATTGTTCCCTCCAGCAAGTCGACCCGCCGACTGATGGTCCTGATGCACGACACCTTGACCCCGCCTTCGCAGGCGCCAGCGCTCGCACGAGCCGCCCAAAGAGCGGTGCGAAACGACGCAGCCCTGGCCTCCAATGTGATTCGAGTCATTATGGATGGTCCTGTACAGACTGCGCTGCGCAAGCACTTTGGATTGGCCGAGACACCGTTCATGTTCGCGCGGGCCCGAGGGTGTCGTGCTTGACCCCGAGGTCGAGAAGCTTTTCTCGAAATGCGTGAAGCTGAACCCGATTGTGACGAAAGCCACGAAGAGGTTCCCGATCGCTCGTCACATGTACGAGCTTGTATTCGAATCCGAGCAAGCTTGTCTTGAAGCCGCTTCAGCGGGCCCATTCCCCTACCACGGCAAGGAGATGGTTACCGAGCTCCCCAGCGCCTCTCCCTTAACCACGTCATGCAGGTGTGATTCACCTTGCCCTCCTCCTCCAGCGCGATCCCCGCTTCTGTGCTCCGAAAATCTCTCGATGATGCTATCACCCTTTCGTTCGGCCACGCAGGTCGCACGCAAGGTTATACCCTGATGCAATTACAGCGGGGCCTCGCGGTCGATCCGAATGGTGATCCGATGGCCATGACCGAAGACGGGTTCCACTGCGCGTACCTTCGCTTACATGCTGATCTTTTCCAAGGCTCCATCGAGACGCAGAAGGCTGCGCTCAATGCCGCTTTGCCACAAGAGATCGAGATCCTGGGCGCCAAGTACGGCTTGCGACACGAATTTGAGACGCACTACTGCGCGGTGTGCGATCGCGCCGGACACCAGTGGGGCGCTTGCAGGAAGCCAGTTTCGACTCCGGCCACCGCCGCCCCTGTTCCGGGGGCCTCGACCTCGACTTCGACTTCGACCACCGGCTTCCGAGTTGCTGGAAAGAATGGGAAGCACGGTGGGCCTGCCGCATTGAACTCTCGTGTCTCTGGCGCAAACATGATCCAGCTGGGACCTCGTGCTAACCCCGCAGGTGCAGTAACTGCCAACAAGGACGACGCGAACGACGGCGACGACGAGTCGGTCGTTTCGACCGAACCGGAGGGCGGCGACACTGGGGAAGAGACGTCGACGCGTGCGACCCTGGGCTCAACAAAGGAGACGTAGACGACGACGGCGGCACCCGTTTCGACCCCGACCTCTCCTTCGCCTTTGTCCGGTGGCACGTCGGGATCATCGGCAACCTCGACAACCTCGATAGCCTCGACGAGTCCTCAACGCCTTCGTTCGAGCTCGGCACCCAGCAACCGACATGTCACCCGGGCGGGATCCGCCATGATCCTCGGTGCATCAGGGGGTCACAGGTCCAAGGTGACCGAATTCGAGGGGGGCGGCGCTGAACTGATTTAATCATGATTGAGTCACTCACCGTGTTGACGTTCAACGTCCGATCGATGAAGAACGCAGTCAACCAAGTCAAAATCATCCGTTATCTCAAAACCCTTCGGCCGGCCCCTGCGGCCATCCTCCTGCAAGAGCACCACCTCAGCTACAACGCGTCGCGCAAAGGCTTCGAGAGTGCTTGGCCGGGGCTTGTATTCGTTTCACTCCTCATGTCCTTACCCTCATACCCGATGGCTCACCTTTGGCGGGCCATCTCCTTTCCTCTACCCCGGTCGTCTTTGCAGGAGCTCCTCGTTTCGACGGTCGGATTCTGCGCTCGGTGTTTCGTCTTGAGGAGCTCGATGTCGAGATCATCAACATGTACGCGCCGGTGCAGGAGGACGATCGTCGCGACTTTTTCGGGCTTCTGCACTTCAGCGCCCCGAGACCCAAGATTCTTCGGATCTTGGCCAGCGATCTCAACGATTGTCCGGATGTATTGGTCGACCGAGTGTCCATCACCGATCGCGCTTGGACTCCTGTATCGCACTGGCAGACCTTGCTGTCAAAGATCGCGTTCAAGGCACTCGACACGGTCCGACATGTCCATTCTTGCACCCCTGCATTCACTCGTCCTCACTACCGTGGTAGAGGGGAAGAGCGAAAGATTTGCTCGTGGTCGCGGATTGACTATATTCTTGTCCAATGCAGTTGGGCGAACCGGTTGTTGAGCGCTTCTACGCTCTTCGATGCGCCCTGTTCGGACCACAGACCTGTAGTTGCGACTTTCGCTTTGCCTACATCGAACGCTGATGCCGAACCCCCCCTTTCTCTTCCCTCCACGAGCGATTTCATTTCAAGGCTCAACCCAATGGTCTTTGACGATCAAGACTTTGTCGCATCGATTCCCGGGTCGTCGACGAGGTCTATCGAAGGCTCGAGGGGACCGCTCCACTTGGCGATGTCTATGACGCCGCTCTGCGGGCGGTTGCAGTCGCTGGCCATGCACGATACCGCTCGACTTGTGCCGAGAGCCAATCCGTCATGGAGGCTTTGGAGGCACGCGGTGAGCACGTGAATTGTGAAGAGTCCACTCTCAGCTCGACAGGGGCGCCTCGGTCGTTGCGCGCACTTGCTAGCCCGCCCCCCGGCGGTGGGACTTAGACGCGCGCGACTGCCTCAGCGCGCCAGCGCCGGCGGATTCATGCGCGCGCCCGCTAGCCCGCCCCCTTGCGGTGGAGACTTAGGCGCGCCGGCGATTTCACCCGCGGCTGACTTAGGGATGTACATTGTCACGCGCCTGGGCCTATCCCAGCGTGGCCCCCTTTCTGTTTCTTAGCTTCCTTCTCATCACTTCTGTTCGACTCTCAACCTCTCCTGACAGTAGTGGTGATCGTCTCATATGGCGGAGTCTTCAGAGTCGGTCGGTAAGACCGAGGGTGACGATGACGCAGCCGACGATGGTGAAAGTGCAGGCGATGGCGCAGGCGACGGTGACGAGGACGATTCGGCATCTGTGAAGTTAAGTAAGGTTCCGCCAGTGTACCCTGGGGCCACGTCAACGGCGCTCATGGCAGAATCATCAAGGGGGGATGAGACGTCCATGTGCGCCGACCTTACTAGTGGGGTCCATGTCTTGACAACGGCTTGAGATTCGGTGGTGGGAGCGCTGACGAAGTGCGTGTCGTCGTCTTGCTCAGTGGGGTCGTCATGTAATCCGGGGAATTCAGTGTCGAGGAACGTGGCATTTCTGCCAAGTATAATCTTCTGTGTCGTAGTGTCGTAGAAGCGAAAGGCTTTTGAAGCCAGGTCGTAGCCGGTGAAAAGAACGCGAACCGCCTTCGGGTCGAGTTTGGAGCGAAGTTCGGGCGCGACCGTAAGTGACAGGCAACGTCGGAGGGGATGACGATGACTACACGCGAGAGACGAGGGAGAGAGCGAGAGAGCACGCGAAAGGGGTGTCGACCGAGAGGCAACCGCGGAGGACATGCGGTTGCAAGGCTCGCAGCAAGTCCAGTGTACCGGACTATGGTAGCCAATGAGGTCGGAAAGAAGAGGGAGGGCAAACGATCCAAGAAATAGCTGACCAGGCCGATGGGAAGGTCGAGTCGGCTGGGCGGCGGAAGTCGACCGAGAGCGACCGAGGAGTGGATTCGGTCGGAAGGCTTCGCAGCAAATCAAGTGTAACGGACTTAATTGCCAGCGAAATGGGTAAAAAGAGGGAGGGTACGAGTCTAGAAGAGTTGACCAAGCTCTGGGGGAAAGGTGGCAAAAGCAAAGGGAGGGAAGTGCTCCGAGTGAAGGAAAGACTGAGTCAAATAACTACACCACGAGGTCGCTTCAGGGGTAAAAAGGATTGCCCGCAAGGCACCGGTAAAAACCCCGAAGCCGGGCCTCGGATAACAAAAAGGAAAAGAAACCAAAAGGCCAATCGCGCTCCGGGCGGATCGAACCCTCGACCACTGAGTGCGCGCCCGCGTGCCCTCACGACTACGCCATCGCGCCCACGATGCTTGCAACGAACGAACCGGTAGCTGATGTCGACTCCGGCCGCAAACTTGGGATACTTCCTTCGAGTATTGATGGCAGTGCAGGCTGTGATCCTGACAGTAAGCCAAGCTGTACAGCCGAACGGGTGAAGCGCCGAGGCAGTGGTGTGGTCACCCTGCCAGACGGAGTTTGGTGTTGCCTTGTCCAGGGCCGCGTGTTGACACAGGTTCTTGCAGTAAACGAAATAAGCTGCAGCCTCCTCCCAGAATGTCTTGGGTAGGTGGGCGTCGACAAGGAGGGCAAGGATGCCTTCGACAATGGAACGATTGACCCGCTCTGCACGACCGTTCTGTTGAGGCGTGCGTGGGATAGAGTATTGTCGACGGGTGCCTCGTGCCTTGCAGAACTCTGTGAACGCTCTTGAACAGTATTCGCCACCGTTGTCGGTTCGGAGGACCTTCAGCGTCACACCCGTCTCGAGTTCAACCTCGGCTAGCCAAGTTTTTGTTGAATTCCATACACTCTTGCTTAGGTCGATCTCCAGCCCGCGCCCAGCCTAGCCAGCCGCGCGCCGCTCGGACCCCTTTTGGACTTAGAGATATTTCGCGCACTCGCACCGCGAGCCTCTTTAGTCTTCCCCCTAACGCTCCAAACTACTTCCTAACACTCATACTGTGTCTCGTGTACTCACTGGTTGCCGATCCAGTCTCCTCTCGAGACACACGATTTAATAACTGAAGTAGAGGTGCCTCGCCTTTTGGTGCAGTGGTATATTGTTCCTTCATAGGTTATAAGCCAACGAGCCACCAGCTGGCATGACCACGACACCACCCCTCGCGACGGGTGCCAACCCTCCGATTCCCGCCGAACAGCTTGCCGCACTTACATCGCTGCTGTCGGGTCTCACCGCTGCCGCTTCCGGCACTGCCACACCCGCCACGACGTCCGGCACCACTCGCACTGCCTTTCCAAAGCACGCACGCTTGGATGGTGCGAAGACCTTCGCGAACTGGACACGCCAACTTCGCCTGTGCCTAGCGGACGACATCCGCTCGTACGTCCTCGACGGTATCGCACCCGACGACTGGACACCTTCGCAACGCTCCGCTCGCGACGCCGTCGCTCGTGAGGTCCTTGCGAATTCGATTGACTCGGCCGAAGTCTCGGCAGTCCTCGACAAAATCCCTACCGCCGACCTGACAGCGCCGACAATCTACTCGACGCTGAAATCGCGGTACGCCCCTGACGACGCCACCCGCACGCTCGAGCTCTTCTCACGACTCTGGGGTTTCCGTCCCATGCCCGGCACGGTTGCCGAATTCGACGGGTGGATCATGGAGTTCAAAGCTGTTGCGCAAGAGATCATCGACACAAAGGCAACTATCAATGATGTTCTCGCCACACTCCTCCTTGCAATCGCCCACCCGTCCCTCGAGAGCTTCAAGGCGTCGTTCACCGATGAACAGCGCACGCAACGAACTCTCCCCGACATTGATTCGCTTGCCGACCGTATGCGAGTCCAACTTCGGTCAACGAACATCCCCAGCACTCAATCGGCCCTTCTTGCCTCGTCGTCGTCACGTTCTACTCGTCCCAAGTGTCTCGCCTGTCGCAGCCCTTCGCACCGAGTCGCGGAGTGCCCTACGAGGGCGCAACACCCGCCGCCAGGACCCTGTCGCTCCTGCAAGAAGAAGGATCACTGGTCTCTCGACTGCAAGAAGGCGCTCGAGGACGGCAAAAAGCCCGACACTGCTGACTCGACCGTCGACTCGCAACACCATGTCGGATGTCTCGCCACCGGTCTTCTCGCTCGTCGTCGCCAGCTTCGCAACCACTCTTTTGTCGTCGACTCGGGCGCCATGGCAGGCAACGTCCTCTTCAGAAGACGTTGACTACACGCGGAGGAGGGGATCAGGCCGAAGGAAGGTCGACTGGGCGGGGGCAGGCGACCGAGGGACAACCGAGGAGGGGACGCGGTTGTGAGGCTCGCAGCAAGTCAAGTATATCGGACTTTATTGCCAACGAGATCGAAAACGAAGGATGAAGGTGAAGGGATCTTGGGAGATGTGGCGGACCAGGCTGAGTGGGAAGGTGCTAAAAACAAAAGGGAGGCACTCAGGCGCAGAGGGGACTTAGCCAATTCAGCTACTCCAAGAGGTCGCCTCAGGGGGAAAAAGGATTGCTCGCGGGAGCACCGGTAAAAACCCTGAGGCCGCGCCTCAGCTAACAAAAAGAACAAAAACCGAGAGAAGATTGCGCTCTGCGCGCCTTGAACCCGCGACCATTAAGTGCGCGCCCGCGCGCCGAACGACTACGCCATCGCACCGACGATGCTGTGAAACGAGGCAAGCCTCTGGTCAAGTCAACTCTACCCGCACATAGCCTTGGGGGGCTTCCTTCGAGTACACGCTGTCATCCTGACACTGTCCCCCCCAGAAGGAAGTCTACCGTGCGGCGAGGCGGCGGTTCGAGCGATCGAGGCGCGCGAGGTAGGCGTCGAGGACGGACGGATGGTCAAGGCGAATGGACTGCTCTGACATCCAAGTATCGTCGGTGTCGTTACGGCCTACCCATCGAACCAAGAACGAACGAGCGCCCCGAGCGTTCCGCCGATCGCGAACAATCCGTTCCGGAATCGCAGAATTGTCGGCCGCGTCGGCTACGTCTTCGACAAAAAGAACTGCGGGGTCACGCCCAGGAAACCTTTCAGCATCATTCTCAACGCAAGGCCGAAGCAGTCGAGCATGGAAACGATTGTGCACTCGCGACATCGCTGGAGGGAGCTCGAGGTCGTAGCTGGACGTCGCAGGGATGGCCGCTCGGATACGGAAGGGGCCGATGTAGCGCGGCAACAACTTCGACTTCATGCCGTCAGGAACTGCCAGGTTCTTTGTCGAAAGATAGACGTAACTGCCGGTCCGAAAGGCGGGGTCGTCTGGGCGTTGATGCTTGTTGGCCTGATGGGACTGGTTGAGGCGTGCTCCAATGATCGCATCCGTCACGTCGAGGTTCCGTAATTGTCGGATCCGAGCAAACGCTTCCGCACGAGGGACGTCCGAGACAGACCAGGAATCCGAGGGCCAGCATCGAGGAAGGTAGCCGTAGGTTGCCTCAAAAGCCGACAGCGACGTGGACACAGCAACAGAAGAGTTAAGAGCGAACTCAGCTTCAACAAGACGAGATGCCCAAGCCTCGTGGTTTGACGAGACCATGATCCGCAGGGTTTGGGTGACCATCTTGATCCGATTCTCGCTCGATCCGTCCGTCTCCGGGTGTGCCGCGGTTGACATTCGCAAGACGGTGCCAATCTTTGCCTGCAATGCCCGCCAAAACTGCGAGGTGAACTTGGGATCACGGTCGGAAACGATGGCGGAAGGCATCCCATGCAGTCGGAAGACGGTGGCGTAGTACTTCTCGGCAACGAGCTCCGAGTCGGCATCGGCTGGGAGGGGAATCAGGTGGACCATCTTGCCCCAAGTGTCAGTGACCACCATGATTTGAGCAACCATCATCCCTTCGAGCTCGACCGGAGGCAGTCCTGTCATGAAGTCGATGGCCACTTGTTCCCAAGGACCAGAAGGGATCGGCATCGGATGCAGTCGGCCATAGGGGACTTGAGTGGACGCCTTGCCTCGGGTACAGTCTGTGAAGAGTCCACTCTCAGCTCGACAGGGGCGCCTCGGTCGTTGCGCGCGCCTGCTAGCCTGGCCCCTGTGGTGGGGACTTAGGCGCGCGCGAGTGCCTCAGCGCGCCGGCGCCGGCGGTTTTCGGGCGCGCGCCGCTAGCCCGCCCTTGCAGTGGGGACTTAGCCGCGCGCGACTGCCTCAGCGCTCCAGCGATTTCGCCCGCGCCTGGGCATATCCCAGCGCGGGCCCCCTTTCCATTTCTTAGCTTCCTTCTCATCACTTCTGTTCGACTCTCGACTTCTCCTGACAGTAGTGGTGATCATCTCATAGGTACGCTGAAATAGATCACTTCTGTTCGACTCTCGACTTCTCCTGACAGTAGTGGTGATCATCTCATACAGTCTTCACATGAACGGCAGAACTCGGCGCAATCGGCAGACATGGACGACCACCAGTACAAAGGACGGATGGCGGCCAAGGTGATGCGATGTCCTGCATGCCCGACACTCCGATGAATCTCCGAAAGCACGAGCTCGCGCAGCGATGGGACCTTGTCGGAGTTGACGACGCCAGTAGCGAGACCACGAGGCACAAACAAGGAAATAGACTCATCTGGATGTACACGCAAAATCCTCCCTTCCTCGGTCACCCGAAACATAGGCCATGATAGCGGGTCGGTAATGATGACCTGGGCTTGCGAATCGTTGGCGTATGCTCGGATGACGGTGTCGAGGAAGGGTTGGGGCAGTGGATCAGGCGGCCGATGGACTACAGGGGTGTCGTTGACATCATCGGTGGCAACTCCCAACAAATCGAGTTCGTCGGCGTCGGCATCGACCGGAATGGGCGGGTCGTTGGCAGGGGCCGTAGCAATAGCGTGAACTCGATTGACAGCGATGGGAGGAGAGAGGCGGCCGATAGACCAATCGACGGCGTCCATAATGTTCTCGGCCAGATGAGGGGAACCGGGAGAGCCTGCGTCGTAACCGTGACCCCAGGGCCCGAAGGCGCAATCAACAGGGGGCAACCGATCGTGCGAAGGTGAGGTGTAAGGACGTTCCTCGAGGAGGCTCTCACCGGGCGTAATGAACTCGTGGCATTCTTCCTTCAAGAACAAATTCCCTAATTCCTGTCCATTCACGTCCTCGTCTTGCGATTCCTCCTTGAGCGCGTAGTATCCGGGAGAGCCTGCCTCGCAATCGTCGTGTTGGGGCCCGAGGGCAAAATCAACAGGAGGCAACCGATCGGGAGATGGTGAAGTGCAAGGACGTTCCTCAGGGAGGCTCTCACCGGGTGTAGTGAATTCGTGGCGTTCTCCATCAAAGAACATGTCCTCCAACTCATTCTCCTTGACCTGATCCTCGTGTGAACCCTGCTTGACCTCCCACAGACGCGACAACAAATCGGCCAGGGTGTTGTTCTTGCCAGCAATGAATTCAAATTCGAAGTCGAAACGGCTGAGTTCGAGACACATGCGGATGTGCCGAGGCGTTTGGCGCAGTTTTTGGGTTTTTATCGTGCGAAGGGCCTGATGGTCGGTGACGATGACGAAGGGGTAACCGATCAAGTGCTGCTCGAACGCCCGACACGCCGAGACGACAGCCAAGAACTCTTTATCAGTGACATGATAGTTGAGCTGAGCACCGTTGAACTTAGCGGAAAAGAATCGCGTTGGAACGGCCTGCGAACGGTTGGGCCCGGACGCCAAACAAGCGCCAATGCCAACCCGACTGGCATCCGTGAAGAGGTACATCTTGTGCTCGCCCGAGGTAACCTTGGCGCCATCGATCGGTCGTAGGATGGCGGGCACAAGGGACTTGTGTGAAGAGTCCACTCTCAGCTCGACAGGGGCGCCTCGGTCGTTGCGCGCGCCTGCTAGCCTGGCCCCTGTGGTGGGGACTTAGGCGCGCGCGAGTGCCTCAGCGCGCCGGCGCCGGCGGTTTTCGGGCGCGCGCCGCTAGCCCGCCCTTGCAGTGGGGACTTAGCCGCGCGCGACTGCCTCAGCGCTCCAGCGATTTCGCCCGCGCCTGGGCATATCCCAGCGCGGGCCACCTTTCCATTTCTTAGCTTCCTTCTCATCACTTCTGTTCGACTCTCGACTTCTCCTGACAGTAGTGGTGATCATCTCATAGGTACGCTGAAATAGATCACTTCTGTTCGACTCTCGACTTCTCCTGACAGTAGTGGTGATCATCTCATAGGTTATAAGCCCATCGAGCTACCGCTGGCATGGACACGTCGTCAACCCTCGCGACGAGCGCCAACCCGACAATTCCCGCCGAACAGCTTGCCGCACTTACATCGCTGCTGTCGGGACTCACCGCTGCCGCTTCCGGCACTACCGCACCCGCCACGACATCCGGCTCCAATCGCAATGCCTTCCCGAAGCATGCGCGGTTGGACGGGCCGAAGACGTTCGCGAACTGGACACGCCAGCTTCGCCTGTGCCTAGCGGACGACATCCGCTCCTACGTCCTCGACGGAATCACCCCCGACGATTGGACGCCTTCGCAACGCTCCGCCCGCGACGTCGTGGCACGCGAGATCCTTGCAAACTCAATCGACTCGGCCGAAGTCTCGGCAGTCCTCGACAAGATCCCTACGGCCGACCTCACAGCGCCCAAGATTTACTCGACGCTGAAATCGCGATACGCCCCTGATGACGCCACTCGCACGCTCGAGCTCTTCTCGCGACTCTGGGGCTTCCGACCCATGCCCGGAACGGTTGGCGAATTTGACAGTTGGATCATGGACTTCAAGTCGGTCGCGCAAGAGATCATCGATACGAAAACGACGATCAACGACGTCCTTGCCACACTCCTCCTCGCGATCGCCCACCCGTCACTCGAGAGCTTCAAGGCAACGTTCACCGACGAACAACGCACGCAACGAACTCTCCCTGACATCGATTCAGTGGCCGACCGTATGCGAGTTCAACTCCGGTCAACGAACCTCTCCAACGATCAATCGGCCCTCCTTGCCTCGTCGTCGCCACGTTCTACCCGTACCAAGTGCCTCGCCTGTCGCAGCCCTTCTCACCGCGTCGCACAATGCCCTACAAGGGCCCAGCATCCACCGCCAGGCCCGTGTCGCTCCTGCAAGAAGAAGGACCACTGGTCTTTCGACTGCAAAAAGGCTCTTGAGGACGGGAAAACGCCCGACACCTCTGATGCGCAACACCATGTCGGATGTCTCGCCACCGGTCTTCTCGCACATCGTCGTCAGCTTCGCAACAACTCCTTCGTCGTCGACTCGGGTGCCACTTCGCACATGGTCTCGGACAAGTCGCTGTTCACGGCCTATCGCCACATCGCTCCTACGAAGATTGGTGGTATTGCAGGGGGCATCAACGCCGTCGGAACGGGAAACATCGCCTTTGTTGCCGCCTCCGGTCACCCGATCACGCTTACCGGCGTGCTGCACACCCCGGGCCTGTCTGTCAACCTCCTCTCGGTCTCTCGACTTTGCGACACCGACGATGTCCGTGTCGCCTTCACGAAGCACGGCATCCATATCGACAAGAACGGCAATGCTATCGCTGAAGGCGCAAGACTCGAGGAAGGGCTCTACTTGCTGGACGCTGATCATTCCAAATGTCAGCATCTCGCTCTCCTCTCTCGCTCACAGTCTTCCGTGCCCCTGCTGACCCTTCACCGCTGCCTCGGCCATCTCGCACCGTCGTCCATACAGAAGATGGTTGCCGCTGGTTTGCTGGAAGGTCTCGGGGCCGGATATAGTGACGAAGAGGTAGAGAAGTTTGTCTGCAATGCTTGCCTCAGTGCAAAGGGCCATCGTCTTCCTTTTCCCGATTCGGACTCGCACTCCTCAGAGAGACTCGGCCTCGTACACAGCGATGTGCTTTCCTTTCCCGAGTCGTCCTTGACTGGCAAGCGTTACCTGGTCACGTTTCTTGACGACTTCTCGCGCAAACTGTGGGCATACGCGATCGGACACAAAAGCGAAGTCTTTGGCGTGTTCAAGACATGGCTTGCCGAGGTCGAACTCGAGACGGATGCAAAACTGAAGGTCCTCCGAACCGACAATGGTGGCGAATACTGTTCGAGAGCGTTCACGGAATTCTGTAAGGCACGCGGCACACGTCGACAATACTCTATCCCTCGAACGCCTCAACAGAACGGTCGTGCCGAACGAGTCAATCGTTCTATCGTCGAAGGTGTCCTTGCCCTCCTTGCAGACGCCCACTTACCCAAATCATTCTGGGAGGAGGCAGCAGCTTATTTCGTCTACTGCAAGAACCTGTGCGAACACTCGGCCCTGGACAAGGCAACACCGAACTTCGCCTGGCAGGGCGACCGCACCAACGCCTCGGCGCTTCACCCGTTCGGCTGCACGGCTTGGCTCACAGTCGCGCCTGAACTTCGCTCGAAACTCGACCCGAAAGCGGTTCGCGTTCTCTTCACCGGCTATGACCTGGCTTCTAAAGCCTTCCGTTTCTACGACACGACGACCAAGAAGATCAGTTTGGGCAGAAATGCCAGGTTCCTCGACAACGAATTTCCCGGGTTACGTAGCGACTCCACCGAGCAAGACGCCGACACGCACTTCGCCAGCGCTTGCCCGACCACCGAATCCCAAGCCGTTGTCAAGACATGGACCCCACTAGTAAGGTCGGCGCACATGGACGTCTCATCCTCTCTTGATGACTCTGCCATGAGCGCCGTTGACGTGGCCCCAGGGTACACTGGCGGAACCTTACTTAATTCCACAGATGCCGAATCGTCCTCGTCACCGTCTCCTGAGCCGTCCTCGTCACCGTCGCCCGCAACTCCCTTGTCACCGTCGCCTGCGCTGTCACCGTCGTTGGCTGCGTCATCGTCACCCTCGGCCTTACCGACCGACTCTGACTACTCCGCCGACCCTCTGGACCTCATCGGCTCACAGACCCCGACTCGCCTCGGCCCACCGGACGTGCACCGCCCAGACTTCAGCACGTACCGTGAGCCCGCATCGGCTGAGGAGTCGCCCGACGAACTCGACATCATTGGGCGCCACTCGCGCGATGAATCGCCGGACGAAATCGATTTCCTCACCCAACACCACCGCGCCTTCATCGCCACCGACGACGACAACTCTGACACAGAAGCCATTCAACCAGTCAAGTCCATCACCAGCGACCCACAGACATGGCGCGAGGCAATGTCGAGTGACAAGCGCGAAGTGTGGGCCAAGGCCGCTACCGACGAGTTCAATTCCATGCGCGACGACTTCAAGGTCTTCACCATCGAGGACCGATCCACGGTACCAGCGGGTGCGACCATCGTCACATCCAAGTTCGTCTGGAAAACGAAACGGAATGCACTCGGCGAAGTCACCGGCCACAAGGCACGGCTCGTGGCGCAGGGAAATCGGCAACGCGACGGCATCGACTTCAACGAAACCTTCGCACCAGTCGCACGCTTCTCCTCGATACGCTCACTCCTCGCGCTGGCGGCCGCCAACGGCTTGCACGTGCACCAGGCGGACATCGACAAAGCCTATCTGCATGGCGACCTTGACCATGACATCTGGATGACGACACCGCGCGGCTTCGACCTTCCCACCGACAAGGTGCTTCGTCTGCGACGCTCCATCTACGGACTCAAACAGGCTGGCCGAATCTGGAATCGACACATCGACGCATCGCTTCGAGATCTCGGCTATACGGCGACGGGCACCGACCACTGCGTGTACTCTCGGATCGACGATCGGCGACGCCCACACTACATCGCGCTGTACGTCGACGACCTCCTGATGATCAGCCCCGACTTGGCCGAAATTGAACGTGTCATCTCGGGCCTCGAACAACGCTACGGCGTCAAGCGCCTCGGCCCGGCAGAGTACATCCTCGGCATCCAGATCAGGCGACTCGAAGACGGTTCTATTGCCCTGTCCCAGGAACGGTACATCATGGACGTGCTTGCTCGGTTCCACTTCGACACCACGACTCGCGGCACTACAGTCCCGATGACCCCCGGCCTTTCGCTCACCGCCATCCCGGGTCAAGGCACCGAACGGATCAGGTCATGGTATCTGCAGGCTATCGGCTCGCTCCTCTACATTTCGCTCGGCACCCGCCCCGACATCGCCTTCGCCGTGTCCTACCTGGCCCGCTTCGCCAACAACCCTGGACGTCGTCACTGGATCGCGGTCAAGCACATCCTCCGCTATCTCCGGGCCACATATCGCGACGAACTGGTTTATGCTTGCGGCGAGACACGCATCACGGGCGTGGTTGGCTACTCCGACGCGAACTGGGGGGCCTGCGTCGATACGTCGGTGTCCACTATGGGCTACGTCTTCTACATTGCCGGATCCGCCGTGTCTTGGTCGTCCAAGCGTCAATCTCGAGTTGCCGATTCTACCACCGACGCTGAATACCTCGCCCTCTCGCATGCTGGCAAGGAAGGGATCTACCTCAGTCAGCTGCTCGAGGAGCTCCATGTCCAACCTGTTGCACCGGCTCACATTTTTACTGACAATGAAGCCGCTGCCGCAGTTGCCCACGACCCTGTCCGCGTCTCCGGCACTCGACACATACGCTTGCGCGAGCACTTTGTTCGGGACATGGTGAATCGGGGCGATATCTCACTCTCGCATGTGGGAACCAGCAACATGGTGGCCGACATCTTCACAAAGGCTCTTGGCCCAAAGATTTTCTCGACACACTGCTACGCACTAGGCCTTCGCACTCGACACCCACGGCTTGGATCTGCCTCGCATTCGCGTGGGGGGGGGTGTGAAGAGTCCACTCTCAGCTCGACAGGGGCGCCTCGGTCGTTGCGCGCGCCTGCTAGCCTGGCCCCTGTGGTGGGGACTTAGGCGCGCGCGAGTGCCTCAGCGCGCCGGCGCCGGCGGTTTTCGGGCGCGCGCCGCTAGCCCGCCCTTGCAGTGGGGACTTAGCCGCGCGCGACTGCCTCAGCGCTCCAGCGATTTCGCCCGCGCCTGGGCATATCCCAGCGCGGGCCACCTTTCCATTTCTTAGCTTCCTTCTCATCACTTCTGTTCGACTCTCGACTTCTCCTGACAGTAGTGGTGATCATCTCATAGGTACGCTGAAATAGATCACTTCTGTTCGACTCTCGACTTCTCCTGACAGTAGTGGTGATCATCTCATAACTTGACGGTATCGAAAGCCTGCTGTTCTCGCTCGTTCCAACGCCATGACGTCGCTTGCGCCATTAACGCGGTGATCGGCTCCAAAATCTTTGAGAGGTGCGGTAGGTGATCTCGCATCCAGTTGACGGTGCCGAGGAAGCGCTGGACATCGGTCTTGTTGCAAGGGATCGGCCACTGACGGATACGCACCCACTTGGCGGGGTCGACTTCAATGCCGACGTCGGAAATGATGGTGCCCAAGGAGTCCAACGACTTTGAGAACCACTCGGACTTCTTGGATCCTAAGTAGAACCGGTAATGTCTCAATGTCATCAGCAGGATCTTGATGTGTCTCAAGTGCGCACGACGGGTATCGGAATGGACGTGGACATCGTCGAAAAAGATCTTGGCGAACGGGAGACACGGCTGGAACATCGCCAAGGTCAAGAGGTTGAGGGTATTGGGCGCATTGGTGTCACCAAACTGCATGACCCGCGACGTGTACGTGCCCGTCACCGTTGCGAAGCCGGTGCGATCGACGTGCTCCGGTATGACCCGAACCTGCTCAAATGCCGCGGCCACGTCGAATTTAGAGCGATAACGCGATCGAGCCACCTCGTATCGAACATTGGTCATGTCCGGGATGGGCGAAAAACGCTTGACGGTGTTGCTGTTGCGCGCGCGGAGGTCGATCACGAAACGAGCCGTCTGGGAGTTCTTCTTCGGAATGGCAAAGACCGGAGCCGCAGAATCGATCGGACCCGAAACCCAGAATCGACCACGAGTGTACTTAGCTGAGTGTTCCGCCCACTGGCTGCGATATTTGTCGGCAAGGGGGTATACCCGGGGTTTGACCTTTTCGGTGGGATCGATCAACGGGATCTCGTGGTTGACTGGCCGGTACGGTGGGAGTTGGTCCATCGGTAGCGAATCTACGAACACATCAGAAAATTTCTCGAGTAAGGCAGCCAATCGTGTTCGTGCTTCGGACTCAGAGAAATCGTCGAGCGCCGGATCGTCGACGACATCGAGCAGCGGGTTGTGTGGCTCGAGGCCGATGATCTCGTCGTCGGGAAGCAACCCAGGGTGATTGCAGCCAATGGCAGAACCGGATAAGATAGGTGCTACGGTGACGGCTCGGTCCCATTCGTGCGTATCCTGGGCGACGGGTTGCGAAGGGCCGGTGCGCGCGACGGTGAAGACGCCCCAACCAACGAGCATGCCTGTGTCCTTAAGAAATGGCAGCCCCAAGATGGCGTCGTACGCCGTTACACGGCAAACGAAGAATGGTCGCAAACCGAGATCTAGGGCGCCAGACGAAAAAGGAGCGGTGGCGAACACAGCACATCGGTCGGACTTATCCTGGGTGCCGAGGCGCAAGTGCAATGGTGCAGTCAAACGGGCCGTTGCGAAGCTCGGGTCGACTCGCACCACCTCCTGATCCACCAAGTCGACCTCTGATCCAGAGTCGATCAAACATCGCAAAACCCTTCCAGAAGGTAGCGTCCAAGCGATGACGTTGCGGGCGCGTACAATGGCGGGCTCGACAGGTCGGTCGGGTTCGTCGATGTCGATCAGGGGCGCAGCGGACGCCAAGAGAGACACACCCGACGGCACAAGAATCTGGAAAGAGCTCACCGAAGCAGTCCTTTCCGCCTTGCGAGACGACACCACTTCCGGCCCCGGATAATGACACAAGCGCGACGCGGCATCAGCGTAGTACAAGACATCTTCCACCGCGTCAATCGCGATGTCAGCCAGGCTATCGTCGAGACGATGTTGATCTGCATCATTTGCCGGCACGGTTGGATGCGAACTACTTGATGAGGTCTGAACTTCAAAAGAAGAAGAGGCAACGTCTTTCACTCGGCCAACAAGGTCTGCAGGAGGGCAAGAGTGGTGCGTCACTAAGGCGGATGCGGAACTCGACGGTCGAGTCAAATCAGTCTCGAGGGGAAGGGGGAATCGCACCTGGGGGTCCTCAACGTCACCTGAGGCCGACGACCATTCGTCCTCGTCCATGTCGGCGAAGGCAATTGCTGATATTTGGACGGTCGAGGGGGATTGTCGCTCCGCTGTACAATGCTGTGAGAAATGGCCACCTTGACCGCAATTAAAACACGCCATGCTGGCGGGTACCCCACCCGATGCTGGCGAAAACCACGTGTTCCGATCCTTCCACAGGTGGGCCTGTTGCCATTTACCGGCGCGGTTCATCCATCGAGCTCGACGGATCTGGGTACGTGCGTCGTCGTTTGGCGTGGATGGGGCGGTGCGTGGCGTTTTCGCAATTGCTCCATAAGTCGCAGTACGAATCTGTGAGGAATCCACTCTCCGCTCGGCTCAGGACTTAGGCGCGCGGAGCGAACCGGGCGCGGACTTAGGCGCGCGGAGTGAGCCGGGCGCCCCGGCCCAGGACTTAGGCGCGCGAAGCGAGCCTGGGACTTAGGCGCGCGGAGCGAGCCTGGGCCATTGGCTCAGCCCCAGGCTCGCTGGCTGTGGACTTGGGGCGCGCGGGTCTCTTATTGTTAGCTTCCTATTCATCACTCTTGGCTATAACTACATCGCTGACGTAGTAGAGTTGATTGAATAGGTATGTTGAAATGCATTCATCACTCTTGGCTATAACTACATCGCTGACGTAGTAGAGTTGATTGAATAGGTTATAAGCCCACGAGCTACCAGCCCCGCCGCTTGAGGCTTTTTCGCTCGAGCCCAGCCACTCGAGCCGCACACGTCCATCGCACCATCACATCATGGACAGCTCTCCCGCCTCGCCTTTGGCCCCCAGGGATCCCAGCTCCCCTGAATCTTCGATCGGCGAACAAATCGCCACTCTACAGGCCCAGCTTGCCGCTCTGCAGGCCTCGCAACCCGCCGTCGCCGCAGCCGCCGCACCCCCGGCCGTCACCGTCGTGCCGGGGAACGCCGCCACCGCATCCAAGGTCGTGTTTCCCAAGCACGCTCGTCTGGACGGCCCCAAGTCGTTCACCAACTGGTTGCGTCAACTCCGTCTTGCACTCCCGAACCAGGTTCGTGGTTACGTTCTCGACGGTGTCGTTCCCCCGACCTGGACCGCCGACCAGCTTGCCGCACGTGACGACGCCGCCCGGGAAATCATCGTTGGCTCTATCGACTCCGCCGACGTATCGGCCACCCTCGACGCCATCCCCAGCGACGACCTGTCGGCACCGCGCATCTTTGCCGCTCTCAAGGCTCGTTTTGCACCGGACGACGCTACACGCACTCTCGAGTTGTTCGCTCGCCTTTGGGACTTCAGGAAGATGCCTGCCTCCGTCGAGGCCTACGACACTTGGCTACGCGAGTACATGTCGATTGCTCAAGAAATACGCGACGCCAAAACATCGCTCAACGACGTGCTCGCCACCCACGTGCTCGCCATGGTCCCGTCTTGCCTCGACAGCTTCCGACTCACGTTCACGGACGAGCAGCGAAACCGACGCGACCTTCCCGAACTCACGACGCTTACGGACCGCATTCGCATCCAGCTTCGTTCGGCAGGACTCTCGACCTCGCATTCGGCCATGCTTGCCACCAGCTCCCCCTGCCCCGCCTGCCGCGCTCCCGGTCACCGCCTGCGCGACTGCACTTCACGTGCGAAGCACCCGCCCACCGGCCCCTGCCGCCGATGCCACAAGAAAGGTCACTGGGCACTCGACTGCAAGAACCGGGGTGAACAGGCACGTAGCAGCGACGACACCCAGGACGACACGTCTTCCTCCGCGGCCTCGCAACCGAACGTCGGCTATTTCGCCTCCTGCCTCTTCGCTCGTCGCCAACTCCCAACTGACGCCTTTGTAGTCGATTCGGGTGCCACGACACACATGGTCGCCGACCGATCTCTATTCACGACTTATCGTCAGACGGCACACACCAAGATCGGCGGCATCGCGGGCGGCATCACGGCTATCGGCATGGGGGACGTGGCATTCGTCGCCAAGACTGGACACCCGATCACGCTCCGTGGTGTTCTTCACACGCCTGGCCTACACGTCAACCTCCTCTCTGTCTCTCGCCTCTGCGACACCGACCGCGTTCGTCTCGCCTTCACCAGCGACGGCATCGACATCGCCAAGGACGGCCGGGCCATTGCTCACGGTACCAGGGTCAACGACGGTCTTTACCTTTTGGACGCGGATCACACCAAGTGTCAGCATCTTGCCTTCCTCTCACGCTCTGAGTCTCCCGTGCCCCTGCTTACCCTACACCGCTGCCTCGGCCATCTTGCCCCATCCTCTATACAGAAGATGATTGCTGCAGGTTTGCTGGACGGGTTTGGGGCCGGGTACAGTGACAAAGACGTAGAGGAGTTTGTTTGCAATGCTTGCCTTGGTTCCAAAGGTCACCGCCTTCCCTTTCCCGACTCTGAGTCGCATTCCGCCGAGAGACTTGGCCTCGTGCACAGCGACATCCTGTCGTTCCCCACTCCGTCCTTGACCGGGAAGCGCTACCTTGTCACGTTTCTAGACGACCACTCTCGCAAACTCTGGGCATATGCGATCGATCACAAAAGCGATGTTTTCCCGACCTTCCAGACTTGGCTCGCCGAAGTGGAGTTAGAGACGAACGCGCGGTTGAGAATCCTTCGAACCGACAATGGCGGGGAGTACCGATCAAACGCATTCACGGAGTTCTGCAAATCCAAGGGCATTCGTCGTCAATACTCTATCCCTTACACGCCTCAACAAAACGGTCGCGCCGAACGTGTCAACCTCTCCATCGTCGAGGGCGTCCTCGCTCTCCTTGCGGACGCCCGTCTGCCGGCCACCTTTTGGGATGAAGCGGCTGCGTATTTCGTTTATTGCAAAAACAGGTGCTCACACTCAGCTTTGGCCAAACAGACTCCAGAATCCGTTTGGAACGGCCAACGCACCACCGCCACCGCCCTCCACCCGTTCGGCTGCACAGCCTGGCTCACGGTCGCCCCGGACCTTCGCAGCAAGCTCGACCCCAAGGCCGCGCGCGTGATCTTCACAGGTTACGACCTCGCCTCCAAAGCTTTCCGTTTCTTTGACCATTCCATCAACAAGATTGTACTTGGTCGCAATGCCACCTTCCTCGACGACGACTTCCCCGGCCTGCCAGTCACCACGCCCGTCGATGCAGACGACACCGACCGTCAGTTCGTCGTTCCCGCCGACACGCCCGCCCCTGCCGTCAAGACGAGGACCCCACTAGTAAGGTCGGCGCACATGGACGTCTCATCCTCCCTTGATGATTCTGCCATGAGCGCCGTTGACGTGGCCCCAGGGTACACTGGCGGAACCTTACTTAATTCCACAGATACCGAATCGTCCTCGTCACCGTCTCCTGAGCCGTCCTCGTCACCGTCGCCCACAAACCCTTTGTCACCGTCGCCTGCGCTGTCACCGTCGTTGGCAGCGTCATCGTCACCCTCGGTCTCACCGACCGACTCTGACTACTCCGCCGACCCTCTGGACCTCATCGGCTCACAGACCCCGACTCGCCTTGGCCCACCGGACGTGCACCGCCCAGACTTCAGCACGTACCGTGAGCCCGCATCGGCTGAGGAGTCGCCCGACGAACTCGACATCATTGGGCGTCACTCGCGCGATGAATCGCCGGATGAAATCGATTTCCTCACCCAACACCACCGCGCCTTCATCGCCACAGACGACGACGACCCCACCCTCGACGCCATCGAGCCCGTCAAATCGATCACTAGCGACCCCCAGACCTGGCGCGAAGCAATGTCCAGCGACGAGCACAACATCTGGGCTGAGGCCGCCGCCGCCGAGTTCACCGCCATGCGCGACGACTTCAAGGTGTTCACCATCGAGCCTCGCTCATCTGTACCGCCGGGCGCCACCATCGTCACCTCCAAATTCGTCTGGAAGACCAAGCGCAACGCAAGCGGTGAAGTCACGGGGCGGAAGGCACGTCTTGTAGCGCAGGGTAACCGACAGCGCGACGGCATCGACTTCTCAGAAACCTTCGCACCCGTCGCCCGTTTCTCCTCCATTCGCTGCCTCCTGGCTCTTGCCGCTGCCAATGGCTACCACGTTCATCAGGCCGACATCGACAAGGCTTACCTCCACGGCGAGCTCGATCATGATATCTGGATGACGACACCACGCGGTTTCGACTTCCCGAGCGATAAGGTTCTCCGGCTGCGACGCTCAATCTACGGTCTCAAGCAGGCCGGTCGCATCTGGAATCGTCACATTGACACATCACTCAGGAATCTGGGGTACAAGGCAACAGGCACTGATCACTGCATTTACTCTCGCATTGACGATCAGCAGCGGCCTCACTATATCGCCTTGTATGTCGACGACCTCCTCATTGTCAGTCCAGCCCTCGACGAGATCGAACGTGTCATCTCCGGCCTTGAACAGCGGTACGGCGTCAAACGACTCGGCCCCGCGGAGTACATCCTCGGAATCCAAATACGCCGCCTGGACGACGGTTCCATTGCTCTATCCCAGGAGCGCTACATCATGGACGTGCTGGCCCGTTTCCACTTCGACACCACGACACGCGGCACTACGGTGCCGATGACGCCCGGCCTCTCGCTCACGGCAATTCCGGGTCAGGGAACGGAGCGCATTCGTTCGTGGTACCTACAGGCCATCGGCTCCCTCCTCTACATCTCCCTTGGCACTCGACCCGACATTGCCTTCGCCGTCTCGTACCTGTCCCGGTTCGCCAACAACCCCGGCCGCCGCCATTGGATTGCCGTCAAACACGTCCTTCGCTACCTTCGCGCCACGTACCGCGATGAGCTTCTCTATGCCCGCGGCCCAGCAAAAGTCACGGGTGTGGTTGGTTATTCTGATGCGAACTGGGGCGCCTGCGTCGACACATCCATTTCAACGATGGGCTACGTATTTTACTTGGCAGGCGCCGCTGTCTCTTGGTCGTCGAAGCGTCAGACTCGGGTAGCGGATTCCACCACTGATGCCGAGTACCTGGCCTTGTCGCACGCGGGTAAGGAAGCGATCTACCTTAACCAACTCCTCTCCGAGCTCCACGTTTGCCCAATCGCTGCAGCTCACATCTTCACCGACAACGGGGCCGCGGCCGCCGTCGCTCACGACCCCGTTCGCACCTCCGGCACCCGGCACATTCGCCTCCGCGAGCATTTTGTCCGTGACATGGTCAATCGAGGTGATATCTCTCTCTCACACGTTGGCACAGCAGACATGGTTGCGGACGTATTCACCAAAGCGCTAGGCCCCAAGATTTTTGGTACACATTGCTATGCTCTAGGCCTCCGGACGCGACATCCACGGCTCAAGTCTACCTCGCGTTCGCGTGGGGGGGGGTGTGAGGAATCCACTCTCCGCTCGGCTCAGGACTTAGGCGCGCGGAGCGAACCGGGCGCGGACTTAGGCGCGCGGAGTGAGCCGGGCGCCCCGGCCCAGGACTTAGGCGCGCGAAGCGAGCCTGGGACTTAGGCGCGCGGAGCGAGCCTGGGCCATTGGCTCAGCCCCAGGCTCGCTGGCTGTGGACTTGGGGCGCGCGGGTCTCTTATTGTTAGCTTCCTATTCATCACTCTTGGCTATAACTACATCGCTGACGTAGTAGAGTTGATTGAATAGGTATGTTGAAATGCATTCATCACTCTTGGCTATAACTACATCGCTGACGTAGTAGAGTTGATTGAATAGAATCGGCGGGGTCGAAACTGATGTCGTGCCGATGTCGTCGGCGATGGCGGCCCAGTCGGTAACCTCCTCGAGGGACGGGACAGTTCGTCCGAACCTCCCTATAGTCACAAGTGAGTTATCCCGATATTCCCGCAGCATACCAGCCCGCACTTCCCGCTTAGCCACATCACTCAACGATTGATAAAAGGTTGTGGCGAGTTGAAGGGACGAGAGGCTGAAGCTGGGGTTGTTGTGCATAAACGCTCGGTAGCGGGCACGCCATTCGCCCACATGGTCGTAGGCTCGAGACGAAGACTGTCGGCACCCGTAGAAGTCGTGGGACACTCGGTCGGCAAAGCCAGGATCCGGCCAACGACGTCCAACTTCTGTCATCAGTGTCGTCCAGCAGTGAGGTCGTTCGTCCCGGAGCGCGTCCGTCATAGTATCAACGGCCCAGTCGTGCGGAGACTGACGGCGCTTGGGAGAAGTGGAACGAACGAACAAGGTCGCCACAAGCTGGATGACGCGGTCGGTGGTAAAAAGGTCGCTGGTGGAAATGTCGCAAAGTAGAGACAAGTACGACTTCCCAAATGTAGTGAAAGTGACCAACCGATCCGGGTTATCCCCTGTCCATAGCCCTTCCCGGTCAGGTAACGTCCCTCTCCAACGAGAGCTGATTACTGCCGAGGAAGGGCCGTCCCTTCGTGCGCTGTGAGATTCCCCCCCAGGGGAACGAACAAGGGGGTCAGCGGTATTGCCTGAACGTTCCAGAATGGTGTGTGGGGGAACGTCCAAGGGGACCGATCTCACCGGCGGAAACGTAAACTCCCCAGCCCGCGCTGCGGCTGGTTCAGAGAATCCAGCCCTCGCCACAGCTGGTTCAGAGACTCCGGCCCGCGCCGCAGCTGGTTCAGGTGAGCTTTTCAATAAACCCTCCACCAACTTCTCCAATTGCTGAACACGTTCCTCGGAGTCGATACGACGGGCTTCGGATTCCTCGAGGCGGCTTTCGAGGGACGATAGAGCGGTGGCGGTGTGGTAGGGTTGGGGCGGCGGGGACTTGGGCGGTTTCGCGCGGCCGGGGTCTTCGTCGCGGAGAGGAGCGTCTCGATCATCGGCGGCGGCGCGGTACACGTCGCGCTCGTCGGCCATGGCAATCTCGTGACTCAAACGTCGGCGATTGCGGGGCGAACGAAGGCGGGCACGAGACGGTTGACGGAAAGGGTAGGAAGGATAAACGTGTTCGTTGTCGGACTCTGTGGAGGAAGTCGGGAAGGACAGCGACGCGTTCGTTGGTGATGAATTCGGCAACGGAGAGGAGGCTGAAGACTCAGGCTCAGAGAGTGGGGGTGAATGCTCGTCCAGGACGGTGGACAAAGCGGTTGTAGAGGTGCGGATCGTTGTCGGTAATGCCGCACTTGAAAAAAGTGACAAGCGACGTCGGAGGGGATGACGTCGTCTACACGCGTTGGTACGGGGGGGGGGGATTTCTGGAAGTGTCGGCTGTGGCGGCGGCAGTCGACAAGGGAGCAACCGAGGAGGGGAGTCGGTCGAAAGGCTCGCAGGAAATCAAGTGTAACGGACTTAATTCCCAAACGATCGACAAGAAGAGGAGGGGCAACAAAAGAGAAGAGCGGACCAAGCTCCCGGGGAAAGGTGGTAAAACTAAAGGGAAGGGACTGTGCCAGGCCCAGAGGGGACTTAGCCAAATCAACCACTCCAAGAGGTCGCCTCAGGGGTAAAAAGGATTGCTCGCGGGAGCACCGGTAAAAACCCTGAAGCCGCGCCTCGGTTAACAAAAAGATAAAACAAACCGAAAGAAGACTGCGGTCTGGGCGCCTCGAACCCGCGACCACCGAGTGCGCGCCCGCGCGCCTCACGACTACGCCATCGCACCGACGATGCTGTGAAACGAGGCAAGTCTCTGGTCAAGTCAACTCTACCCGCACATAGTCTTGGGGGGCTTCCTTCGAGTACACGCTGTCATCCTGACACTGTCCCCCCCAGAAGGAAGTCTACCGTGCGGCGAGGCGGCGGTTCGAGCGATCGAGGCGCGCGAGGTAGGCGTCGAGGACGGACGGATGGTCAAGGCGAATGGACTGCTCTGACATCCAAGTATCGTCGGTGTCGTTACGGCCTACCCATCGAACCAAGAACGAACGAGCGCCCCGAGCGTTCCGCCGATCGCGAACAATCCGTTCCGGAATCGCAGAATTGTCGGCCGCGTCGGCTACGTCTTCGACAAAAAGAACTGCGGGGTCACGCCCAGGAAACCTTTCAGCATCATTCTCAACGCAAGGCCGAAGCAGTCGAGCATGGAAACGATTGTGCACTCGCGACATCGCTGGAGGGAGCTCGAGGTCGTAGCTGGACGTCGCAGGGATGGCCGCTCGGATACGGAAGGGGCCGATGTAGCGCGGCAACAACTTCGACTTCATGCCGTCAGGAACTGCCAGGTTCTTTGTCGAAAGATAGACGTAACTGCCGGTCCGAAAGGCGGGGTCGTCTGGGCGTCGATGCTTGTTGGCCTGATGGGACTGGTTGAGGCGTGCTCCAATGATCGCATCCGTCACGTCGAGGTTCCGTAATTGTCGGATCCGAGCAAACGCTTCCGCACGAGGGACGTCCGAGACAGACCAGGAATCCGAGGGCCAGCATCGAGGAAGGTAGCCGTAGGTTGCCTCAAAAGCCGACAGCGACGTGGACACAGCAACAGAAGAGTTAAGAGCGAACTCAGCTTCAACAAGACGAGATGCCCAAGCCTCGTGGTTTGACGAGACCATGATCCGCAGGGTTTGGGTGACCATCTTGATCCGATTCTCGCTCGATCCGTCCGTCTCCGGGTGTGCCGCGGTTGACATTCGCAAGACGGTGCCAATCTTTGCCTGCAATGCCCGCCAAAACTGCGAGGTGAACTTGGGATCACGGTCGGAAACGATGGCGGAAGGCATCCCATGCAGTCGGAAGACGGTGGCGTAGTACTTCTCGGCAACGAGCTCCGAGTCGGCATCGGCTGGGAGGGGAATCAGGTGGACCATCTTGCCCCAAGTGTCAGTGACCACCATGATTTGAGCAACCATCATCCCTTCGAGCTCGACCGGAGGCAGTCCTGTCATGAAGTCGATGGCCACTTGTTCCCAAGGACCAGAAGGGATCGGCATCGGATGCAGTCGGCCATAGGGGACTTGAGTGGACGCCTTGCCTCGGGTACAGTCTTCACATGAACGGCAGAACTCGGCGCAATCGGCAGACATGGACGACCACCAGTACAAAGGACAGATGGCGGCCAAGGTGATGCGATGTCCTGCATGCCCGACACTTCGATGAATCTCCGAAAGCACGAGCTCGCGCAGCGATGGGACCTTGTCGGAGTTGACGACGCCAGTAGCGAGACCACGAGGCACAAACAAGGAAATAGACTCATCTGGATGTACACGCAAAATCCTCCCTTCCTCGGTCACCCGAAACATAGGCCATGATAGCGGGTCGGTAATGATGACCTGGGCTTGCGAATCGTTGGCGTATGCTCGGATGACGGTGTCGAGGAAGGGTTGGGGCAGTGGATCAGGCGGCCGATGGACTACAGGGGTGTCGTTGACATCATCGGTGGCAACTCCCAACAAATCGAGTTCGTCGGCGTCGGCATCGACCGGAATGGGCGGGTCGTTGGCAGGGGCCGTAGCAATAGCGTGAACTTGATTGACAGCGATGGGAGGAGAGAGGCGGCCGATAGACCAATCGACGGCGTCCATAATGTTCTCGGCCAGATGAGGGGAACCGGGAGAGCCTGCGTCGTAACCGTGACCCCAGGGCCCGAAGGCGCAATCAACAGGGGGCAACCGATCGTGCGAAGGTGAGGTGTAAGGACGTTCCTCGAGGAGGCTCTCACCGGGCGTAATGAACTCGTGGCATTCTTCCTTCAAGAACAAATTCCCTAATTCCTGTCCATTCACGTCCTCGTCTTGCGATTCCTCCTTGAGCGCGTAGTATCCGGGAGAGCCTGCCTCGCAATCGTCGTGTTGGGGCCCGAGGGCAAAATCAACAGGAGGCAACCGATCGGGAGATGGTGAAGTGCAAGGACGTTCCTCAGGGAGGCTCTCACCGGGTGTAGTGAATTCGTGGCGTTCTCCATCAAAGAACATGTCCTCCAACTCATTCTCCTTGACCTGATCCTCGTGTGAACCCTGCTTGACCTCCCACAGACGCGACAACGAATCGGCCAGGGTGTTGTTCTTGCCAGCAATGAATTCAAATTCGAAGTCGAAACGGCTGAGTTCGAGACACATGCGGATGTGCCGAGGCGTTTGGCGCAGTTTTTGGGTTTTTATCGTGCGAAGGGCCTGATGGTCGGTGACGATGACGAAGGGGTAACCGATCAAGTGCTGCTCGAACGCCCGACACGCCGAGACGACAGCCAAGAACTCTTTATCAGTGACATGATAGTTGAGCTGAGCACCGTTGAACTTAGCGGAAAAGAATCGCGTTGGAACGGCCTGCGAACGGTTGGGCCCGGACGCCAAACAAGCGCCAATGCCAACCCGACTGGCATCCGTGAAGAGGTACATCTTGTGCTCGCCCGAGGTAACCTTGGCGCCATCGATCGGTCGTAGGATGGCGGGCACAAGGGACTTGACGGTATCGAAAGCGTGCTGTTCTCGCTCGTTCCAACGCCATGACGTCGCTTGCGCCATTAACGCGGTGATCGGCTCCAAAATCTTTGAGAGGTGCGGTAGGTGATCTCGCATCCAGTTGACGGTGCCGAGGAAGCGCTGGACATCGGTCTTGTTGCAAGGGATCGGCCACTGACGGATACGCACCCACTTGGCGGGGTCGACTTCGATGCCGACGTCAGAAATGATGGTGCCCAAGGAGTCCAACGACTTTGAGAACCACTCGGACTTCTTGGATCCTAAGTAGAACCGGTAATGTCTCAATGTCATCAGCAGGATCTTGATGTGTCTCAAGTGCGCACGACGGGTATCGGAATGGACGTGGACATCGTCGAAAAAGATCTTGGCGAACGGGAGACACGGCTGGAACATCGCCAAGGTCAAGAGGTTGAGGGTATTGGGCGCATTGGTGTCACCAAACTGCATGACCCGCGACGTGACAGGCAACGTCGGAGGGGATGACGATGACTACACGCGAGAGACGAGGGAGAGAGCGAGAGAGCGCGCGAAAGCGCGAAGGAGCGAAGGGGTTGTCGACCGAGGCGGCGGCAGTCGACCGAGAGGCAACCGCGGAGGATACGCGGCTGCAAGGCTCGCAGCAAGTCCAGTGTACCGAACTATGGTAGCCAACGAGGTCGGACAGAAGAGGGAGGGCAAACGATCCAAGAAATAGCTGACCAGGCCGGTGGGAAGGTCGAGTCGGCTGGGCGGCGGAAGTCGACCGAGAGGCAACCGCGGAGGATACGCGGCTGCAAGGCTCGCAGCAAGTCCAGTGTACCGGACTATGGTGGCCAACGAGGTCGGACAAAAGAGGAAGGGCAAACGATCCAAGAAATAGCTGACCAGGCCGATGGGAAGGTCGAGTCGGCTGGGCGGCGGCAGTCGACCGAGAGCAACCGAGGAGTGGATTCGGTCGGAAGGCTTCGCAGCAAATCAAGTGTAACGGACTTAATTGCCAGCGAAATGGGTAAAAAGAGGGAGGGTACGAGTCATGATAATGAGTGGACCAAGCTCTAGGGGAAGGGTGGCAAAAGCAAAAGGAGGGAAGTGCTCCGAGCGAAGGAAAGACTGAATCAAATAACTACACCACGAGGTCGCTTCAGGGGTAAAAAGGATTGCCTGCAAGGCACCGGTAAAAACCCCGAAGCCGGGCCTCGGATAACAAAAAGGAAAAGAAACCAAAAGGCAGATCACGCTCCGGGCGGATCGAACCCTCGACCACTGAGTGCGCGCCCGCGCGCCCTCACGACTACACCATCGCGCCGACAATGCTTGCAACGAACAAACCGGTAGCTGATGTCGACTCCGGCCGCAAACTTGGGAGACTTCCTTCGAGTATTGATGGCAGTGCAGGCTGTGCTCCTGACACGACGTGTACGTGCCCGTCACCGTTGCGAAGCCGGTGCGATCGACGTGCTCCGGTATGACCCGAACCTGCTCAAATGCCGCGGCCACATCGAATTTAGAGCGATAACGCGATCGAGCCACCTCGTATCGAACATTGGTCATGTCCGGGATGGGAGAAAAACGCTTGACGGTGTTGTTGTTGTGAAGAGTCCACTCTCAGCTCGACAGGGGCGCCTCGGTCGTTGCGCGCACTTGCTAGCCCGCCCCCGGCGGTGGGGACTTAGACGCGCGCGACTGCCTCAGCGCGCCAGCGCCGGCGGATTCATGCGCGCGCCCGCTAGCCCGCCCCCTTGCGGTGGGGACTTAGGCGCGCCGGCGATTTCACCCGCGGCTGACTTAGGGATGTACATTGTCACGCGCCTGGGCCTATCCCAGCGTGGCCCCCCCCTTTCTGTTTCTTAGCTTCCTTCTCATCACTTCTGTTCGACTCTCAACCTCTCCTGACAGTAGTGGTGAACGTCTCATAGGTTATAAGCCCACGAGCCACCAGCTGGCATGACCACGACACCACCCCTCGCGACGGGTGCCAACCCTCCGATTCCCGCCGAACAGCTCGCCGCACTTACATCGCTGCTGTCGGGTCTCACCGCTGCCGCTTCCGGCACTGCCACACCCGCCACGACGTCCGGCACCACTCGCACTGCCTTTCCAAAGCACGCACGCTTGGATGGTGCGAAGACCTTCGCGAACTGGACACGCCAACTTCGCCTGTGCCTAGCGGACGACATCCGCTCGTACGTCCTCGACGGTATCGCACCCGACGACTGGACACCTTCGCAACGCTCCGCTCGCGACGCCGTCGCTCGTGAGGTCCTTGCGAATTCGATTGACTCGGCCGAAGTCTCGGCAGTCCTCGACAAAATCCCTACCGCCGACCTGACAGCGCCGACAATCTACTCGACGCTGAAATCGCGGTACGCCCCTGACGACGCCACCCGCACGCTCGAGCTCTTCTCACGACTCTGGGGTTTCCGTCCCATGCCCGGCACGGTTGCCGAATTCGACGGGTGGATCATGGAGTTCAAAGCTGTTGCGCAAGAGATCATCGACACAAAGGCAACTATCAATGATGTTCTCGCCACACTCCTCCTTGCAATCGCCCACCCGTCCCTCGAGAGCTTCAAGGCGTCGTTCACCGATGAACAGCGCACGCAACGAACTCTCCCCGACATTGATTCGCTTGCCGACCGTATGCGAGTCCAACTTCGGTCAACGAACATCCCCAGCACTCAATCGGCCCTTCTTGCCTCGTCGTCGTCACGTTCTACTCGTCCCAAGTGTCTCGCCTGTCGCAGCCCTTCGCACCGAGTCGCGGAGTGCCCTACGAGGGCGCAACACCCGCCGCCAGGACCCTGTCGCTCCTGCAAGAAGAAGGATCACTGGTCTCTCGACTGCAAGAAGGCGCTCGAGGACGGCAAAAAGCCCGACACTGCTGACTCGACCGTCGACTCGCAACACCATGTCGGATGTCTCGCCACCGGTCTTCTCGCTCGTCGTCGCCAGCTTCGCAACCACTCTTTTGTCGTCGACTCGGGCGCCATGGCAGGCAACGTCCTCTTCAGAAGACGTTGACTACACGCGGAGGAGGGGATCAGGCCGAAGGAAGGTCGACTGGGCGGGGGCAGGCGACCGAGGGACAACCGAGGAGGGGACGCGGTTGTGAGGCTCGCAGCAAGTCAAGTATATCGGACTTTATTGCCAACGAGATCGAAAACGAAGGATGAAGGTGAAGGGATCTTGGGAGATGTGGCGGACCAGGCTGAGTGGGAAGGTGCTAAAAACAAAAGGGAGGCACTCAGGCGCAGAGGGGACTTAGCCAATTCAGCTACTCCAAGAGGTCGCCTCAGGGGGAAAAAGGATTGCTCGCGGGAGCACCGGTAAAAACCCTGAGGCCGCGCCTCAGCTAACAAAAAGAACAAAAACCGAGAGAAGATTGCGCTCTGCGCGCCTTGAACCCGCGACCATTAAGTGCGCGCCCGCGCGCCGAACGACTACGCCATCGCACCGACGATGCTGTGAAACGAGGCAAGCCTCTGGTCAAGTCAACTCTACCCGCACATAGCCTTGGGGGGCTTCCTTCGAGTACACGCTGTCATCCTGACACCATGACCTGATCCGTTCGGTGCCTTGACCCGGGATAGCAGTGAGCGAAAGGCCGGGAGTCATCGGAACTGTAGTGCCGCGAGTCGTGGTGTCGAAGTGGAACCGAGCGAGCACGTCCATGATGTACCGTTCCTGGGATAGGGCGATAGAGCCGTCGTCGAACCGCCTGATCTGGATGCCGAGGATATACTCGGCCGGGCCGAGGCGCTTGACTCCGTAGCGTTGTTCCAGGCCTGAGATGACACGTTCGATTTCGGCCAGGTCCGGGCTGATCATCAGGAGGTCGTCGACGTACAGTGCGATGTAGTGTGGACATTGACGATCATCGAGCCAAGAGTATACGCAGTGGTCGGTGCCCGTCGCCGTGTAACCGAGGGCCCGAAGCGAAGCGTCGATGTGTCGATTCCAGATTCGGCCAGCCTGTTTGAGCCCGTAGATGGAGCGTCGCAGGCGAAGCACCTTGTCGCTGGGAAGGTCGAAGCCGCGCGGTGCCGTCATCCAGATGTCGTGGTCAAGGTCGCCATGCAGATATGCTTTGTCGATGTCCGCCTGGTGCACGTGCAAGCCGTTGGCGGCCGCCAGCGCGAGGAGTGAGCGTATCGAGGAGAAGCGTGCGACCGGTGCGAACGTTTCGTTGAAGTCGATGCCGTCGCGTTGCCGATTGCCTTGCGCGACCAGCCTTGCCTTGTGTCCAGTGACTTCGCCGAGTGCGTTCCGTTTCGTTTTCCAGACGAACTTGGATGTAACGATAGTCGCACCCGCGGGCACCGTGGCTCGGTCCTCGATGGTGAAGACCTTGAAGTCGTCGCGCATGGAGGTGAACTCGTCGGTGGCGGCTTTGGCCCATACTTCACGCTTGTCGCTAGACATCGCCTCGCGCCAGGTCTGTGGGTCGCTCGTGATGGACTTGACTGGCTGAATTGCCTCTGTGTCAGAGGTGTCGTCGTCGATGGCGATGAAGGCGCGGTGGTGTCGGGTGAGGAAATCGATTTCGTCCGGAGATTCGTCGCGAGAGTGGCGCCCAATGAGGTCGAGTTCGTCGGGCGACTCCTCAGCCGATGCGGGCTCGCGGTACGTGCTGAAGTCTGGGTGGTGCACGTCCTGTAGATCGAGGCGAACCTGGGGCTGTGAGCCGAGGAGGTCGAGAGGATCGGCGGAGTCTTCAGAGTCGGTCGGTAAGGCCGAGGGTGACGATGACGCAGCCGACGATGGTGAAAGTGCAGGCGATGGCGCAGGCGACGGTGATGAGGGCGACGCAGGCGACGGTGACGAGGACGGCACAGGCGATGGTGACGAGGACGATTCGGCATCTGTGAAGTTAAGTAAGGTTCCGCCAGTGTACCCTGGGGCCACGTCAACGGCGCTCATGGCAGAATCATCAAGGGGGGATGAGACGTCCATGTGCGCCGACCTTACTAGTGGGGTCCATGTCTTGACAACGGTTTGAGATTCGGTGGTGGGAGCGCTGGCGAAGTGCGTGTCGCCGTCTTGCTCAGTGGGGTCGCCATGTAATCCGGGGAATTCAGTGTCGAGGAACGTGGCATTTCTGCCAAGTATAATCTTCTGTGTCGTAGTGTCGTAGAAGCGAAAGGCTTTTGAAGCCAGGTCGTAGCCGGTGAAAAGAACGCGAACCGCCTTCGGGTCGAGTTTGGAGCGAAGTTCGGGCGCGACCGTAAGCCAAGCTGTACAGCCGAACGGGTGAAGCGCCGAGGCAGTGGTGTGGTCACCCTGCCAGACGGAGTTTGGTGTTGCCTTGTCCAGGGCCGCGTGTTGACACAGGTTCTTGCAGTAAACGAAATAAGCTGCAGCCTCCTCCCAGAATGTCTTGGGTAGGTGGGCGTCGACAAGGAGGGCAAGGACGCCTTCGACAATGGAACGATTGACCCGCTCTGCACGACCGTTCTGTTGAGGCGTGCGTGGGATAGAGTATTGTCGACGGGTGCCTCGTGCCTTGCAGAACTCTGTGAACGCTCTCGAACAGTATTCACCACCGTTGTCGGTTCGGAGGACCTTCAGCGTCGCACCCGTCTCGAGTTCAATGTCAGGATGACAGCGTGTACTCGAAGGAAGCCCCCCCAAGACTATGTGCGGGTAGAGTTGACTTGACCAGAGACTTGCCTCGTTTCACAGCATCGTCGGTGCGATGGCGTAGTCGTGAGGCGCGCGGGCGCGCACTTGGTGGTCGCGGGTTCGAGGCGCCCAGACCGCAGTCTTCTTTCGGTTTGTTTTATCTTTTTGTTAACCGAGGCGCGGCTTCAGGGTTTTTACCGGTGCTCCCGCTGACAGGCAACGTCGGAGGGGATGACGATGACTACACGCGAGAGACGAGGGAGAGAGCGAGAGAGCGCGCGAAAGCGCGAAGGAGCGAAGGGGGTGTCGACCGAGGCGGCGGCAGTCGACCGAGAGGCAACCGCGGAGGATACGCGGCTGCAAGGCTCGCAGCAAGTCCAGTGTACCGAACTATGGTAGCCAACGAGGTCGGACAGAAGAGGGAGGGCAAACGATCCAAGAAATAGCTGACCAGGCCGGTGGGAAGGTCGAGTCGGCTGGGCGGCGGAAGTCGACCGAGAGGCAACCGCGGAGGATACGCGGCTGCAAGGCTCGCAGCAAGTCCAGTGTACCGGACTATGGTGGCCAACGAGGTCGGACAAAAGAGGAAGGGCAAACGATCCAAGAAATAGCTGACCAGGCCGATGGGAAGGTCGAGTCGGCTGGGCGGCGGCAGTCGACCGAGAGCAACCGAGGAGTGGATTCGGTCGGAAGGCTTCGCAGCAAATCAAGTGTAACGGACTTAATTGCCAGCGAAATGGGTAAAAAGAGGGAGGGTACGAGTCATGATAATGAGTGGACCAAGCTCTAGGGGAAGGGTGGCAAAAGCAAAAGGAGGGAAGTGCTCCGAGCGAAGGAAAGACTGAATCAAATAACTACACCACGAGGTCGCTTCAGGGGTAAAAAGGATTGCCTGCAAGGCACCGGTAAAAACCCCGAAGCCGGGCCTCGGATAACAAAAAGGAAAAGAAACCAAAAGGCAGATCACGCTCCGGGCGGATCGAACCCTCGACCACTGAGTGCGCGCCCGCGCGCCCTCACGACTACACCATCGCGCCGACAATGCTTGCAACGAACGAACCGGTAGCTGATGTCGACTCCGGCCGCAAACTTGGGAGACTTCCTTCGAGTATTGATGGCAGTGCAGGCTGTGCTCCTGACATGTAATGCGTGTTGTCGATCGTGTCGAGCCCCAGTGCGTCGCAGAGCACGCCCCTTGCCGCGATCCAAACGTTCCTAGAGTCAACGCAGTCGAAGAAGTAGTGCTCCCGATCGTCCTTGGGCGCTCCACAGACGAGGCACGCGGGCGAGTCGTCGTGCTTTTGATGAAACTGCAGACTCCGAGTCGGGGTGAAGTTCCTGACGAGCTTGAACCACACCTCGCGTTCCCTCGCCGTCAATGCCTTCGAGTTGACCCCCTTCCAGAATCCCTTGAGATCGTCGGGCTGCAGCGAGTCCCTGAAACCGATCGTGTCGGTGAAGGCCTTTGCATTCAAGACTCGGCGGACGCGACGGATGGTGTATGGCCGATCCATGCTGAGCAAGTTGTATTGTGTTGATTGGTCTGGGAGAGCCGGTCTCGGAAGGCGCTGCGGCGGGTCGATCGGATGGGGCAGGATCGACTCGAGCGGCGTGGTGGGGCGGACTCGGGGAGGCCCGTTGATTCGTACTGCCGCCACCGGTTGAGCTATTGGTGTGAACCTCAATCGATTGATCGCATGTCGGTACCATGCCACGATGTGCTCTCGTTGTGGGCGGCCCCGTTGATCGTATTCGCTGTTGCTGACGACCACATCCGTCGGCGGCGTCCAGAGATGAAAGCCCCCGCCCGGGTACAGCTCGCGTCGAAACAGGTCCGCTACCTTGGCGTAAATGGCAAACGCAGCATAGTCGGCGTCGTAGGGTGGTCGCGACACAGCTGGTGCTCCCGGTAGGTAGTGAAGGGTGTGCAACTTGATCGGAAGAGCGAGAAGGTTCGCGAGCGTCAACGTCCTCGGCTTGACTTGCGCATTGTGCGTCGATGGTACCTTCAGCACGGCCTGCCATCTTGGGTGTAGATCGGTTCGGATCGGAGTGTAGTCGCAAGGCCACGCATCGGTTGCCAAGTCAAAGTCGGGGGCGGGATGGGCTCGTACAATCGCCGCGCGCGCAAGTCCCTGCCAGATCGCATCCGAACCGCCAAGAAGCACGTCCCAGACGCGTGCCGCAACCGAGTCGACGACGTCCTGCATCCGCATGACCCCAAGACCCCCCTTGAACCTCGGTGTGAAGACGACGTCCTTGCCATAGCACGACCTCCTCTTGCCGCCGCGGACAAAGTCGGCGAGAATGCGATCAAGCTCCTTGACGACCTCGAGCGGTGGGATGTCGGCGGAGAGGATGTGCAGAATCTTGGGAATGGCATATCGGTTGACGTAGAACGCTCGGGTGTGGTGTGTGAGCCCTCGGTCCCGTGCCGAATCGAGCACCGCTTCGAGCCGTGCGACGAGATTCACGTTGGCGAGTTCGGTGTTGCCGGTGGGGTCGAAAGATAGGCCGATCCACTCGAGCGACTCGCCCTCGGCCTTGACGACGAGCGGACGATCGCCAGCCTCCCAGCGACACCCGATGGGTAGTACGACGGTCTTGTCGGTGTTGAGCCGGCCATTGGTTGCGAGCCTCCAGTCGAGCGCCAGGTCGTCGAGCAAGTTGAGTGACTCCGAGCCCGCGACGGCGACGACGACGTCATCGGCAAACGCAAGGGATGTAATGGCGCGGCTCTGTGGGTAGGGGTGAATGGTAGGAAGCGAGAGGTTCAGCGCGATGCCTCGACGGTGCAGAGCATCCAGGAACGGCTGGAACACGACATCCCAGACCGACGACGACGCCGGGTCCCCTTGGCCGAGCCCACACGTCAGCCGCACCGGCGGAGTCAAGAAGCCGTTGATGATATATCGCGCCGTGGTTGAGTCACCCGAGTAGAGCATCCTCAGAACGCGTTGGAAGGCGGCAGGAGCGCCGAGAGCGTCGAAGATGGCGAAGATCCATTCGTGCTCGACGAGGTCGTAAGCCGACGATTGGTCAAGAGACAAGAGCGCCGCGTCAGGGAACTCGGTGCCGCGCGCGCCCAGCTCCTCGATCAAGAGTCGCAGGTGGAATGACGCGTCCGCCGATCGGCGGCCCTTGACGAAGCCGTGCTGTTGCGGTGGGAGCAGGTCCGGCAGCACGTGGTTGAGTCGCGCAACGTAGACCTTGGTGAAGAGCTTGTAGTCGCACTCGCGCAAGGTGATGGGCCGGTACGACGAGAGCTCGGCGCGATCGGCCCCAATCTTGTGGTGCTTGAAGAGCAGGCGAGCGAGTCCTTGCCCCTGCTTCGGTGAAAGCGAGCCGCGCTCGGTCATCGCGTTGAAGGCCCTGCTCAGCGCCTTGGCCCACGCCCGCGGCGCTGTGTGATAGAGCTCGTAGGGCACGCCAGATGGACCCGGCGATCGACCGGGGTGTGTTGTTGCGATTGCGGCTACGACCTCGTCCTCGGTGATGGGTTGCTGCAGCAGCTCGATGTGCGCTTCCGAGAGTCGTCGCAGAAAGAGCGGGTCCGAGCTCGGGTCGTCGCAAGTGCGCGCCGACCTGATCGGCGCCAAGAAATCGTCCCTAAGTCGCTCGACGTGGTCCCGATCGCGCGGCTCGAGATCGTAGAGGCGCTGAAAGTGCGCCTGTGTGTGGTCAAGCGCGACGTCAATGTCATGTGTCAGCTCTCCGTTGGGCAATCGCAGTGCTGTGATCTTGGAATCCGAACTCCGTGCCGCGAGCTTGGCGTGGACCGGCCGCTCCAGTCGTTCCTCGGTAGCGATTTCGGGTACGTGGGCTCGGATCCGAAGTTGGCGCGCGCGCTCGTTGACCGCTCGCCTAAGTTCCTCCGTCGTCCGCGTCCATTCGGCCGTCTCCTCGTCCCCCATCACCGGCAACGCCTCCAGATCCTGCACCCTTCCCACCAAGACCGCCATCCGCTCCACCCGCTCCCGATGCTCCCTCCTCGCCAGCTCCCGACCCTCCTTCGCGCAGTTCCCCAGCACCACCTCGAGCTCCCCCACCGGTTCCTCCCCACTCGCTCCTTCCAACCATCCTTCCAACATCCCCTGGAACTCCGCCGTCTTGAAGGTCGCCGCGTTGATACGATGTAATTGGTTTGATGTCGTTGGTAAACTATTGTTGGGTTGAGCCGCGTCTCCTCGCTCATCCGAGAGAACTAGGACGATCGAGACCGGTCGGTGATCCGAAAGGTCCTTGGGGTGGTCGTAGATCGTCGAGGCTTGGACGAGTCGCTTTTGGTGGGTGCGCTGCAGAAGGAAGTAGTCAAGTCGTGAAAAGGACTTTGGTCGCTTGCGGACGATGTTGGGTCGAGTGAAAGATGGTGTGAGCGGGTGTTTGAATCGTATGCAGTCGGTGTAGGGCGAGTCGAGCTTGCCGATCAGGATCGGCCAGTGATGGCCGTGCCGACCTTGGTTCCGCCGATCGATCGCCGGCAGCGGGCAGTCGTTGAGATCGCCGCCGAGGAGTCGAAGGTGGGTGCTCTGCGTCCTGTGGAAATGTAGTTTGTCAAAGAATGTGAGTCGTTGTTTTGTATCGACTGGTGCGTAAATGTTGTTGATCTCGAGTATCCGGATGTCGCCTCGAAGTCGAAAGGAGGTGACCAGGATTCGTCCGTCGAGTGCCGAGTGGGTGCGCAAAATCTCGGTGTCGATCAGGGGCGAGTCGGCGGGGATCAGAGTCAGACAGTGTTTGCTGATGAAGACCTTGCCCTCGTACTCGTCCTTGATACATTGCCAGAGTTCCGGTTTGATGAAGTGTTCTTGTAGTAGAATGGCGGATGCTTTGAATGTTGATAAATAGGTGTAAATGTTGCGTCGCTTTTCCGGGATCCCCATGCACCTCCTCACGTTCCAGCTGGTGATGGTGTGCTTGATCATTATTGGGTAGACGATGTAGACGTGCTCTTGGCGGTAGTGTCGTCCTCAAAGAGTGGGAATTCGGGGAGAATGTCATCCTCGGGCTCGTGGTCGGACCAGCGCTTCTCCTCCTCCACCCCTTTACCCTTCTCCGCTTTCGCCTTGGCCCCCTCGACCTGCATCGCCGCCGCCGCCGACATCGACCTCGTCACCCTCTTCCCCTGACCCGCTACCTCCTTTCCTGCTCGACCTTTGACCCTGTTCAGAACGCGCTTGATATCGACCGGGTCGTCGCTCGGATCGTTGAGATCGGCCACCGTTTGCGACCTCTTCATCTTCTTGTTCGACCCGGAGCCGGTGCCACGAATGTTGATGAACCGCAGTTGTCCATCTTCCTGACCCCACTCTGCAAATTGGTGGCGAACGAGCGGTTCCTCCGCGTCGAGTTGGGCGTTGATGATCGCCTCCTTTTCTGCTTGGACACGTGCAGCAGCTTCGGCGTTAGCTCGGTCCCACTCCGCACCCTCGCGCAGCGACTTTGCCAACGTCTCAGGAGATAGTGGAGGCCACGAGGGACTCCGAGGAGTCGACTCGCGGGAAACTGTGGTGATCGTCGTTTGGTCGTCGTCGATGATCATGATGCTGTCGTCCTGTACCCCCTGTTCCTGCTCGACCTCTTCTTCCACCTCCGTCTCCGTCCCTTCGTCCTCCTCCTCTGCTCCATCTTTCATCACGTCATCCCCATCGTTTCCTTCGTCCTCCCTTTGTTCGCTTCCCTCCGAGCTGTCGTTCTGTTCGTCCTTGTCGTTGTCCTTGTCGTCGCCTCCCGCCTTGTCGATGCCCGCTCCGGCGTTCCCATCCGAGTCCGAATCCTCGTCGTCCGCCTTGGCGCCCGTATCCTCGTCTCCTTCTTCGACCTGCTCCTTTTCCTCGCCCTCCTTTCCTGCATCCTCCTCCTCGACGTCATCCTCCTGTCCTCCTTCGACCTCGAGCCCCGCAAATCGGTTCCGCGATTCGAGTTGGTCGGTTCCGAGGGCGCGGCTAGGGGCCACAACCTCGGAAGCGTCGTTGTCGGTGTTGTTGGTGTTGGTGGTGTCGTTGTTGTTGTTGGTGGTGTTGGTTGGGTTGTTGTGGTACTTGTTGTGCCTTCCGGTGTTGTTGTTCGCTTCCTTCTGCCTCCTCTCCTGTTCCAGCGCGCAGGTCTCCACATGCCCCACAAAGTGGCACCGAGCACAGGCCGCTTCTCGTTCGTAGTCGTGACGAACCGCCGTATGCATGTTGCCTCTAGTGGCTAGAGAGACCTTCGACGGTAGGAGCTCCTTCAGCGTGTTGTTAGGGGCTTTGAAAAGGGCGTCGTCGTCGAAGCGGATAAAGGCCGAAAACTCGCCGGCCAAGTGCGCATAGGCCGAGTCGTTATCGACGTGGATCACGCGCAAGACTTGTACCAGCTCGCAACGGTGTCCCTTGGCTGTGATTTTGGTGACAATTGATTTAAAAGAGTCAACAATGGCATCCCTGGATGGGACCGCTGCGACACCGACGTTGATACGCAGCTCGACCATGTTGTGGTAGAAGTGGTGGGCCTTTGCGAAGTGAGCCTTTGCAGAGTGCCAAGTAAGCGCCAGTGGGGCCGTAAGCGCCGAGTCACGTGCCTTCGCCGAAACGAAGAAGGAAGTCTCCCAAGTTTGCGGCCGGAGTCGACATCAGCTACCGGTTTGTTCGTTGCAAGCATTGTCGGCGCGATGGCGTAGTCGTGAGGGCGCGCGGGCGCGCACTCAGTGGTCGAGGGTTCGATCCGCCCGGAGCGTGATCTGCCTTTTGGTTTCTTTTCCTTTTTGTTATCCGAGGCCCGGCTTCGGGGTTTTTACCGGTGCCTTGCAGGCAATCCTTTTTACCCCTGAAGCGACCTCGTGGTGTAGTTATTTGATTCAGTCTTTCCTTCGCTCGGAGCACTTCCCTCCCTTTGCTTTTGCCACCCTTCCCCTAGAGCTTGGTCCACTCATTATCATGACTCGTACCCTCCCTCTTTTTACCCATTTCGCTGGCAATTAAGTCCGTTACACTTGATTTGCTGCGAAGCCTTCCGACCGAATCCACTCCTCGGTTGCTCTCGGTCGACTGCCGCCGCCCAGCCGACTCGACCTTCCCATCGGCCTGGTCAGCTATTTCTTGGATCGTTTGCCCTCCCTCTTCTGTCCGAGCTCGTTGGCCACCATAGTTCGGTACACTGGACTTGCTGCGAGCCTTGCAGCCGCGTATCCTCCGCGGTTGCCTCTCGGTCGACTGCCGCCGCCTCGGTCGACACCCCTTTCGCTCCTTCGCGCTTTCGCGCGCTCTCTCGCTCTCTCCCTCGTCTCTCGCGTGTAGTCATCGTCATCCCCTCCGACGTTGCCTGTCAGCTCGATGTCGTCGACGATCCGGCGCTCGACGATTTCTCTGAGTCCGAAGCACGAACACGATTGGCTGCCTTACTCGAGAAATTTTCTGATGTGTTCGTAGATTCGCTACCGATGGACCAACTCCCACCGTACCGGCCAGTCAACCACGAGATCCCGTTGATCGATCCCACCGAAAAGGTCAAACCCCGGGTATACCCCCTTGCCGACAAATATCGCAGCCAGTGGGCGGAACACTCAGCTAAGTACACTCGTGGTCGATTCTGGGTTTCGGGTCCGATCGATTCTGCGGCTCCGGTCTTTGCCATTCCGAAGAAGAACTCCCAGACGGCTCGTTTCGTGATCGACCTCCGCGCGCGCAACAGCAACACCGTCAAGCGTTTTTCGCCCATCCCGGACATGACCAATGTTCGATACGAGGTGGCTCGATCGCGTTATCGCTCTAAATTCGACGTGGCCGCGGCATTTGAGCAGGTTCGGGTCATACCGGAGCACGTCGATCGCACCGGCTTCGCAACGGTGACGGGCACGTACACGTCGCGGGTCATGCAGTTTGGTGACACCAATGCGCCCAATACCCTCAACCTCTTGACCTCGGCGATGTTCCAGCCGTGTCTCCCGTTCGCCAAGATCTTTTTCGACGATGTCCACGTCCATTCCGATACCCGTCGTGCGCACTTGAGACACATCAAGATCCTGTGTCAGGAGCACAGCCTGCACTGCCATCAATACTCGAAGGAAGTCTCCCAAGTTTGCGGCCGGAGTCGACATCAGCTACCGGTTTGTTCGTTGCAAGCATTGTCGGCGCGATGGTGTAGTCGTGAGGGCGCGCGGGCGCGCACTCAGTGGTCGAGGGTTCGATCCGCCCGGAGCGTGATCTGCCTTTTGGTTTCTTTTCCTTTTTGTTATCCGAGGCCCGGCTTCGGGGTTTTTACCGGTGCCTTGCAGGCAATCCTTTTTACCCCTGAAGCGACCTCGTGGTGTAGTTATTTGATTCAGTCTTTCCTTCGCTCGGAGCACTTCCCTCCTTTTGCTTTTGCCACCCTTCCCCTAGAGCTTGGTCCACTCATTATCATGACTCGTACCCTCCCTCTTTTTACCCATTTCGCTGGCAATTAAGTCCGTTACACTTGATTTGCTGCGAAGCCTTCCGACCGAATCCACTCCTCGGTTGCTCTCGGTCGACTGCCGCCGCCCAGCCGACTCGACCTTCCCATCGGCCTGGTCAGCTATTTCTTGGATCGTTTGCCCTTCCTCTTTTGTCCGACCTCGTTGGCCACCATAGTCCGGTACACTGGACTTGCTGCGAGCCTTGCAGCCGCGTATCCTCCGCGGTTGCCTCTCGGTCGACTTCCGCCGCCCAGCCGACTCGACCTTCCCACCGGCCTGGTCAGCTATTTCTTGGATCGTTTGCCCTCCCTCTTCTGTCCGACCTCGTTGGCTACCATAGTTCGGTACACTGGACTTGCTGCGAGCCTTGCAGCCGCGTATCCTCCGCGGTTGCCTCTCGGTCGACTGCCGCCGCCTCGGTCGACACCCCCTTCGCTCCTTCGCGCTTTCGCGCGCTCTCTCGCTCTCTCCCTCGTCTCTCGCGTGTAGTCATCGTCATCCCCTCCGACGTTGCCTGTCATCCTGCTGATGACATTGAGACATTACCGGTTCTACTTAGGATCCAAGAAGTCCGAGTGGTTCTCAAAGTCGTTGGACTCCTTGGGCACCATCATTTCTGACGTCGGCATCGAAGTCGACCCCGCCAAGTGGGTGCGTATCCGTCAGTGGCCGATCCCTTGCAACAAGACCGATGTCCAGCGCTTCCTCGGCACCGTCAACTGGATGCGAGATCACCTACCGCACCTCTCAAAGATTTTGGAGCCGATCACCGCGTTAATGGCGCAAGCGACGTCATGGCGTTGGAACGAGCGAGAACAGCAGGCTTTCGATACCGTCAAGTCCCTTGTGCCCGCCATCCTACGACCGATCGATGGCGCCAAGGTTACCTCGGGCGAGCACAAGATATACCTCTTCACGGATGCCAGTCGGGTTGGCATTGGCGCTTGTTTGGCGTCCGGGCCCAACCGTTCGCAGGCCGTTCCAACGCGATTCTTTTCCGCTAAGTTCAACGGTGCTCAGCTCAACTATCATGTCACTGATAAAGAGTTCTTGGCTGTCGTCTCGGCGTGTTGGGCGTTCGAGCAGCACTTGATCGGTTACCCCTTCGTCATCGTCACCGACCATCAGGCCCTTCGCACGATAAAAACCCAAAAACTGCGCCAAACGCCTCGGCACATCCGCATGTGTCTCGAACTCAGCCGTTTCGACTTCGAATTTGAATTCATTGCTGGCAAGAACAACACCCTGGCCGATTTGTTGTCGCGTCTGTGGGAGGTCAAGCAGGGTTCACACGAGGATCAGGTCAAGGAGAATGAGTTGGAGGACATGTTCTTTGATGGAGAACGCCACGAATTCACTACACCCGGTGAGAGCCTCCCTGAGGAACGTCCTTGCACTTCACCATCTCCCGATCGGTTGCCTCCTGTTGATTTTGCCCTCGGGCCCCAACACGACGATTGCGAGGCAGGCTCTCCCGGATACTACGCGCTCAAGGAGGAATCGCAAGACGAGGACGTGAATGGACAGGAATTAGGGAATTTGTTCTTGAAGGAAGAATGCCACGAGTTCATTACGCCCGGTGAGAGCCTCCTCGAGGAACGTCCTTACACCTCACCTTCGCACGATCGGTTGCCCCCTGTTGATTGCGCCTTCGGGCCCTGGGGTCACGGTTACGACGCAGGCTCTCCCGGTTCCCCTCATCTGGCCGAGAACATTATGGACGCCGTCGATTGGTCTATCGGCCGCCTCTCTCCTCCCATCGCTGTCAATCGAGTTCACGCTATTGCTACGGCCCCTGCCAACGACCCGCCCATTCCGGTCGATGCCGACGCCGACGAACTCGATTTGTTGGGAGTTGCCACCGATGATGTCAACGACACCCCTGTAGTCCATCGGCCGCCTGCTCCACTGCCCCAACCCTTCCTCGACACCGTCATCCGAGCATACGCCAACGATTCGCAAGCCCAGGTCATCATTACCGACCCGCTATCATGGCCTATGTTTCGGGTGACCGAGGAAGGGAGGATTTTGCGTGTACATCCAGATGAGTCTATTTCCTTGTTTGTGCCTCGTGGTCTCGCTACTGGCGTCGTCAACTCCGACAAGGTCCCATCGCTGCGCGAGCTCGTGCTTTCGGAGATTCATCGAAGTGTCGGGCATGCAGGACATCGCATCACCTTGGCCGCCATCTGTCCTTTGTACTGGTGGTCGTCCATGTCTGCCGATTGCGCCGAGTTCTGCCGTTCATGTGAAGACTGTACCCGAGGCAAGGCGTCCACTCAAGTCCCCTATGGCCGACTGCATCCGATGCCGATCCCTTCTGGTCCTTGGGAACAAGTGGCCATCGACTTCATGACAGGACTGCCTCCGGTCGAGCTCGAAGGGATGATGGTTGCTCAAATCATGGTGGTCACTGACACTTGGGGCAAGATGGTCCACCTGATTCCCCTCCCAGCCGATGCCGACTCGGAGCTCGTTGCCGAGAAGTACTACGCCACCGTCTTCCGACTGCATGGGATGCCTTCCGCCATCGTTTCCGACCGTGATCCCAAGTTCACCTCGCAGTTTTGGCGGGCATTGCAGGCAAAGATTGGCACCGTCTTGCGAATGTCAACCGCGGCACACCCGGAGACGGACGGATCGAGCGAGAATCGGATCAAGATGGTCACCCAAACCCTGCGGATCATGGTCTCGTCAAACCACGAGGCTTGGGCATCTCGTCTTGTTGAAGCTGAGTTCGCTCTTAACTCTTCTGTTGCTGTGTCCACGTCGCTGTCGGCTTTTGAGGCAACCTACGGCTACCTTCCTCGATGCTGGCCCTCGGATTCCTGGTCTGTCTCGGACGTCCCTCGTGCGGAAGCGTTTGCTCGGATCCGACAATTACGGAACCTCGACGTGACGGATGCGATCATTGGAGCACGCCTCAACCAGTCCCATCAGGCCAACAAGCATCGACGCCCAGACGACCCCGCCTTTCGGACCGGCAGTTACGTCTATCTTTCGACAAAGAACCTGGCAGTTCCTGACGGCATGAAGTCGAAGTTGTTGCCGCGCTACATCGGCCCCTTCCGTATCCGAGCGGCCATCCCTGCGACGTCCAGCTACGACCTCGAGCTCCCTCCAGCGATGTCGCGAGTGCACAATCGTTTCCATGCTCGACTGCTTCGGCCTTGCGTTGAGAATGATGCTGAAAGGTTTCCTGGGCGTGACCCCGCAGTTCTTTTTGTCGAAGACGTAGCCGACGCGGCCGACAATTCTGCGATTCCGGAACGGATTGTTCGCGATCGGCGGAACGCTCGGGGCGCTCGTTCGTTCTTGGTTCGATGGGTAGGCCGTAACGACACCGACGATACTTGGATGTCAGAGCAGTCCATTCGCCTTGACCATCCGTCCGTCCTCGACGCCTACCTCGCGCGCCTCGATCGCTCGAACCGCCGCCTCGCCGCACGGTAGACTTCCTTCTGGGGGGGACAGTGTCAGGATGACAGCGTGTACTCGAAGGAAGCCCCCCCAAGACTATGTGCGGGTAGAGTTGACTTGACCAGAGACTTGCCTCGTTTCACAGCATCGTCGGTGCGATGGCGTAGTCGTGAGGCGCGCGGGCGCGCACTCGGTGGTCGCGGGTTCGAGGCGCCCAGACCGCAGTCTTCTTTCGGTTTGTTTTATCTTTTTGTTAACCGAGGCGCGGCTTCAGGGTTTTTACCGGTGCTCCCGCGAGCAATCCTTTTTACCCCTGAGGCGACCTCTTGGAGTGGTTGATTTGGCTAAGTCCCCTCTGGGCCTGGCACAGTCCCTTCCCTTTAGTTTTACCACCTTTCCCCGGGAGCTTGGTCCGCTCTTCTCTTTTGTTGCCCCTCCTCTTCTTGTCGATCGTTTGGGAATTAAGTCCGTTACACTTGATTTCCTGCGAGCCTTTCGACCGACTCCCCTCCTCGGTTGCTCCCTTGTCGACTGCCGCCGCAACAGCCGACACTTCCAGAAATCCCCCCCCCGTACCAACGCGTGTAGACGACGTCATCCCCTCCGACGTCGCTTGTCACAACCACCTCAACTACATCATCAAGTACCGACCCGGCGCTCAAAACAACAAGGCCGACGTGCTCTCTCGGTGTCCCGACTTTGCCGCGGGGGGAAAAGCTTGTGAACAACCCGGTGTAGTGCTTTTACGTCCATCCTCTATCTCCGCCACCTTTTCACCCTCCTCAGAGATCGCTGACTTGATCAAGTCTCGCCTTCTTCATGATCCGGCATCTCTTCGCGTCATCAACGATCTCAATCGTGACGCCTCGCTTCACCCCGACTTTGCACTTCAAGATGGCTTCCTCCTACAATGCCACAAGATCTACGTCCCCGATTTCGAACCTCTCAAGGTCAAACTCCTGTGTCAAGTTCATGACTCGCCTCCATCTGGGCATTTCGGCCAAGCTAAGTCCTTCGAACTGCTTGATCGGAACTTTGTGTGGCCTGGGATGTGCACCTTCGTCAATGACTATGTTCGCTCCTGCGACAGTTGTCAGCGCAACAAGCCCTCCCATCATCGGAAGCATGGCCCACTTCACTCGCTCCCGGTTCCGACGAAACCCTGGTCCTCGCTCTCGATGGATCACATCGTCGACCTTCCGCCGTCCTCGTCGTTGTTGATCGCCCCACCAAGGAAGCTCACTTCATTCCTGCACGAAAAAGCGACACTTCGAAAACCCTCGCCTCGCAATTCAAGACCCACATCTTTCGACTCCATGGCCTACCCGGCGACATCGTATCCGACCGCGGAACGACTTTCACTTCATCTTGGTGGACCGAATTCCTCAAGATGCTCGACATTTGACCCAACCTGTCTACCGTGTTCCACCCAGAGTCAGACGGCCAAACGGAACGAACCAATCAGATCCTCAAGCACTACCTACGCCACTTCTGTGATTACCATCAAGACGATTGGCATGATTTGCTCCCCCTAGCTGAGTTCTCCTACAACAATTCCTTTCACTCGAGCATAGGGATGACTCCTTTCTTTGCCTCTCGCGGTTATCACCCAAGGCTTGAAGTCACCCTCCAGGAGACTCCTGTTCCAGACGTTCGACAACATCTTGCCGGTCTTCGCAATGCCCAACAACTTGCACAAGATCAGATTCGTCATTCTCAGGAGTCTCATGCTCGCTACGCCAACCTTCGTCGTGCTCCCACACCTCCTCTTGCGCTCGGTCAACAAGTTATGCTCAATCAACGCAACATCTGCACCACTCGGCTGTCATCGAAGCTCGACTCCAACAAGCTCGGACCTTTCGCCATCAAGCGCATCATCAATCCCGTTGCCTACGAGTTGGACCTCCCTTCGACAATGCGCATTCATCCTGTTTTCCATGTCTCGCTCCTCAAACCTTATCGCCCCAACACTCTGCCCTCTCGTCAGCAACCTGTGCCGCCACCACCCGACCTCATTGACGGCCAGGAAGCCTTCGTTGTCGAAAGGATCCTCGACTCTCGCGTTCGCCATGGCTTGCTTCAATACTTCGTTGATTGGACTGGCTATGGACCTCAGGATCGTGAGTGGGTTGACACTTCCGATTTCGATGATGACGATGCTCTCGTCCTCGACTTCCATTGCTTGAAACCTCGCAAGCCTGGCGCCGACCGTATCCAACATCTCACGGAGCTCGACGCTTAACCCGGGGGTACTGTCACGAATGGGAGTTTCGCCACTCCAAGTTCGGCCTCTCAGCACCCACGTCATCCGCGTGACTTCGGCCTTCCCGCGCTTCGGACCTCCTCTCCCCACTTCGGCACCTGCACTGCCTTCTTCTCCTCCAACTATACGCTCACAACCCTCTCGCCCCCGACTCTTACGTGAACATCAACGAAGCTCTATTACGTGATCCTCGTGCCTCGTGCCTCGCCTCCTCATCCCCGACTCCTCTGGTCTAGTTTCCCAGTTCTGTAGCTCACTTCTCTCTTTCCCTTCTGCAACTCGAATCTCGTCAAAGGTCACATCCTTGCACTCGTCCCTCGTCCTCGCCTCTTGTGAGAAGTCCCTAGAACACCTCTCAACTCGTCACTCGCCCTTGCCCTCGTCTCGAGCCCCTTCGTCCGGCTCACCTCTCCTATCTTTGTCCTTCGTGATAGCGCAAAATATCTCTAAGTCCAAAAGGGGTCCGAGCGGCGCGCGGCTGGCTAGGCTGGGCGCAGGCTGGAGATCGACCTAAGCAAGAGTGTATGGAATTCAACATTGTTGTGACCGAGCATAGACTTGGGGACTTCGCGGGTCAGGGTAGCTGCACAGTCGCTCTCCTGTCTTTGTCTCGACCGAGTTGGCAAGTGGGTGCGGGGTGGGCCTCTTGTCGTTAGTACGCCAGTTCTTTTTCATTTTCTCTCTCTCATTCGTCTCCTGGGGGGGAGCAACCGCTTGGCTGGGGCACTTGAATCCGAAGTATTGGATTGGTGGACTTGGCCCGTTTCTCGCATCTTGCGGGCGGTTTGTGTTATCATCGTCAACTTCCATCTAGTTTTTCCGTAGGCCAATCAGGGGGAACAGGAATTGGGGGCAATATGATGAATGGTTTCTACAAAAAAAATATAATCCTTCGAGTATTGATGGCAGTACAGGCTGTGATCCTGACACCGGGGCTGTGTCGTTTCGCACCGCTCTTTGGGCGGCTCGTGCGAGCGCTGGTGCCTGCGAAGGCGGGGTCAAGCCGTCGTGCATCAGGACCATCAGTCAGCGGGTCGACTTGCTGGAGGGAACAATCCCGAGCACTTGGAAGGTCTTCTTCATCAGCTTCTCATGGTCCAACCGGACCTGAGTTGCCTCGGGCGACCAAGCTGGAGGATTCGCGGTTCCTCCAGTGACCGCTTCACGCGTTTGCGTGTTGAGTGATGAATCACTCGTGCCATTACCACCTAATAGGTCCTCGGGCGGGGGCGCATCGGCGCAGGGCGGATCCGGCATCGCGTGTTTGTGTTGACCTGTAAAGCTTAACGGGCTTGGAGGTCAACTACTCACTCTACACCACAGAAACTCACTTGTGTGCGTGCGTGTGTGTGTGTGTGTCGTTTTTTTTTTTTTTTTTTGAGTCGACTGACGGCACATGCACACAGGTTTTTATTTTTATTTTTACTGGGGCTCATAAATTGCAATCCTTCGGGTTGGCTGGGACCGCTACAAAAAGAGCTAAAAGAGGTTATAAAGCAACGACGGCAAGCAATTGGGTGAAAGTCAAACCCCTGCGCGCAAAGAGCGCTGCGCAGATCAAAACCCGCCGAGCACCTAACGCGGACTCCAATGGGCGGTGAGTACTGCTGCCGCTTCACGTCCCAAGAGCGGGAGCGAAGATACTCGAAAACCAGGCAAGAGCGCCTAGAGAAAGAAAGGGGGAGAATATACAAAAATTCACGACCGGAAACACGGAGAACCAGGAATACTAAGACAGAGAGGAGGGGAGGAGGAGGGGAACACACCCGAGGGGCCAAGGGAGGGGGTCGAAGCCAGAGCTAGAGGTCCCCAGGGACTGACAGGCCGCAGCCAAGCCCCAGCTACTCGTCACCCCGACAGCGCCTGATGTCCTCCCTTGGCTGAGTCTCGAGTGCTGGCTGTTGAGCCGTCGGGGCCGAGCGAAAACGATCCAATACAACGAAACAAGCCTCGCCTTGACGCGAGGATATTGACCAAAAAAACGAGTGACCTTTCTTCCCGATCCATGCCGTAGATCTTGACCAACGCGAACGAACGATCTATTCGACGGAATCCAACACACGGCTTAGGAATAAAAGGAGAAGTGGCTGAAGCGTAGTCAACAACCGAGCAACAGGAACGAGAAGAGGAAGGGAAGGGAGAACTTCACAAAGCCTCCAATGCAACGACGATCGACCCGGCTTGCCGATCCATCCAAGAACGAAAACCGCTACTGCACAAAGTAGAGAGAGGGAGAGGTGCGCAACAAGTTTCAAGACAGTCAGCTTCTGAAAGAAAAGTCGACCTCCGAAAAGGAAGGGAGGAAAGGAGGGGAGAGAGAGCAGGGGAGGAAAATGGGAAGGAAGGACTTAACTCGGTCATCACACCTCCCAATCTCGAGCCCCAGGCACAAAGCCCGCTCGAGAGAGAAAATCTCGCTCGAACGCTCTGAGCGCACTGGGAAGCGAGGGAGGGGCCACGACGTTGTCCAGCTCGAACCGCTGATGAACGCGCCAGCGGAGCAGGTGCAGCCGCTGGAAGCCGATCGCGCAGGCCAGCCGAACCCACATCCATTTCGAGGTCGTTCTCCCACGACCCCGCAAAAGGGGGAGCCCCATAGTCAGCTGCTCCGGAGTGAACGTCGACGGATCGACGTCGGTATCCTCGATGCCGAGCTTGTCAAGCAGAATGCATAGCACCCCACCCCAGAAGCTGGTCGAGTACGCGCACTCGAAAAAGTAGTGGGACACCGTCTCGATGACCGCTGCATCGTTGCCACAGAACAGACACGTCGGCGAAGAGGCATGACCCTGAGTATGCTGCCTCTTGCGCGTCGGCGTCACGTCGTACATGAGCCGCCAGTGGGTGTCCTGCTCGACAGCAGACGCGAACCGGTCATGAAGCCATCTCCAGAAGCGCTTCCTATCGCTCTGAGAAGTCCCATCAGGGAAACGCTTGACACGGTCCTCCCTCCCTGGGAACCGCACCTTGTTCACAAGCCGACGAAGCTTGCGAATCGTAAAAGGTCGGGAGAGCCCAAAGAAGTTGAAGCACCGAGGACGGGGAGCCTCCTTGAGAGGTATCCGAGCAGGTCGCAACGCGGTCTTGGGCAACAACGCTTTCGCCTTGAGCAACTGACCCACGCGCGACCACACGTGCTCGTGCTGTAGGGTGGGTTCCTTAGAGTGCTGCCAGAACCCGCGTTGATGACCAACCAGAGCCCATCCCTTCCCTTCGTCCCTCCAGTACAGGTCCGCGATCTGCGCAAACTTCGCCACCGCGTCCGCATCGTCATATGCGTGCTGGGCACCTTCAGCATAGAGTGAAGGGAGGCGAGGCGGAAGCGAGAGGAGTTCGGACTTGATGGTTGGAACTGTGACCCTGGCCGCTGCAACGACTGCCCCCCAGCGCGTCGAGTCGCGATACAGCTTCTCGACCCGAGCCGTGCTGCTGAAGAACCCCCACGGACTGAAATCGCGGGTCGCAGCGACGAGGGACCTCCAGCTCTTGCGAGCTAGGGGCACCCAGATCGCCTCGTCCGAGCCCGCCACAGCATCCCAAAATTGAAGCGCCACCGTCCTCCCGAGCCTGGAACACAAAATTGTGAGCGACGGTATTTCGCCCTGCTCCTCCCCAGACAAAGTCCGTAAGTGCCGTCTCCGCCGCCTTAATGAACCATTGAGGCGGTATGTCGAAGGACAGCACGTGGAGGACCGCCGAGATGATGTGAGCGTTGGCATAGAAAACCTTCCCACTCGGCGAAAGTGTCCGGTCTCGAGCGGCGCGGGCCTTGGCCTTGATCCTGTCAAGAACATGGGTCCAAAACAGTTTCGAGTCACTGTGGCGAAAGAAGGCATAGCCGCACCACTTGAAGCTCTCCCCCTCCTGCACCGTTGGCAGCACCTGCGCAGTCTCGTCCCGAAGCCAGTTCGGTCCGAGTGGTAGCACCAGCGTCTTGTCCGTGTTGGTCTTTCCGTTGGTAGCCTCGTACCACGTCTGCGACAGCGTTTGCAGCTTCGACAATGCCGCCGGTGACTCCACCACCACCACAGCATCGTCGGCAAACGCCAGATGCGTAAGCTGCGCACGCGGCCCCCCTGGCCACACCTTCTGCAGGTCGAGCGCGATCCCGCGCCGAACGAGGGCGTCAAGGAAGGGCTGGAACGTGATGTTCCAAACCGGGCACGAGAGGGGATCCCCCTGACCGAGACCACACAGCAACTGCACCAAGTCCGTGGGGAACCCATTGACAAGGTAGCGCACCCCCAGAGTCTCGGGATCGTAGAGAGCGTGCAGCAGCGAGATGAAACGCTCACCGAACCCAAAGGCCTCAAAGACCTCGAAGATCCAGGCGTGATCGACCCGATCGTACGCGCTCTGCTGATCCAAAGACAAGAGGGCGCCCTCGGGGAAAACATCAGTGCCTAGCGACTTGAGTTTTTCGAGAAGGAGAGTGAGATGACTTCCCGCGTCCGCTGAACGTCTTGATGGCATGAAACCGTGTTGCGCCGGCAGCAAAAGCTCGCCGAGCACCCCATTGAGTCGCGCCACCAAGACCTTGCTGAGGACCTTGTAGGTCGTCTCGCGCAATGTGATCGGTCGGTATGCCCCCAGTGATTTCAGATTGGCCCCCGGTTTATTTTTGGGCAAGAGCCGCACCAGCCCCTCTGCCAAGGACGCCGTCATTTTGCCGCCCTCCCAAATCGAGTTGAACAAGTCCAACAGCTTGGGAGCAAAGTAGGTTGGCAGCGCCTTGAAGAGCTCGTACGGAATGCCCGAGGGCCCCGGTGATTGCCCCGAATCCGTCTTCTTCAACGCCGCTTCAACCTCGAGGAGGGTGAAGGGCTCGTCAAGCGCCACTCTCGCTTGACGAGGCAGCCGACGACCGAACGTAGGGTCCGAGCGGTCGTCATCGTAGCATTTCGCTGCGCGAATAGGGTCGAGCAGGGACCGGCGTGCGTTCGTCGGGTCGCCACGAGCTGGGTCCGGCGTGAAGAGCGACTGCGCGTGCCGTGAAGCAATACCCAGCGCCTCCTGCATGTCAACGGTTTTTTTTTTTGTAGAAAATGTTCATCATATTGCCCCCAATTCCTGTTCCCCCTGTTTCGGCCTACGGAAAAACTAGATGGAAGACTACGATGATAACACAAACCGCCCGCAAAAGTGCGAGAAACGAGCCAAGTCCACCAATCCGAGATTCGGATTCAAATGCCCTAGCCAAGCGGTTGCTCCCCCCCAGGAGACGAATGAGAGAGAGAAAGAGATGAAGAGAAAGAGAAAGAAAAGAAATGTACTAACGACAGAAGGCCCACCCCACAGCCACTTCCCACTCGGTCGAGACGAAGACAAGAGCACGACTGCGCAACCACCACGACCCTCGACGCTCCAAGTCTCTGCTCAGTCACAACAAGACGCGGTGGAGGTCCCTCAAAACCTCCTCTCGGCAGTCCCTGGCCCCTCAAAGCCGACTTTCTGCCTGTGTCCGCTGATCCCTCCCTTGACTCAGAACCCCGAAGCCGAAGAGCGCGAGCCACACCGAGTCGACGCCAAATCGCGAGATGGTCCATGATCCGCAACGGTGAACCTGTAACAAAAGAAAGAGGAAAGCGAGCTATTTAGTGTACAGTAGGAGAAAATGATGTCACGAGAATTTGGTGTGTGTGTGTGTGGTGGTGGGGGGAAAGTCGAACCCAGCCTCTACTGCCCTCTCCTCCCCCAAGCTCCTCCCGCCCTCAGCTTCAACCTCTCCTCCAAGATGATCCTCCTCCTCCCAACACCCTCCAGCCTCGTCCCCCACTTCTGCATCCCCCACCTCCCGCTGCTGATCATCTCCAAGACCAGCCCGGTGAATATTTCGATCGTCCTCCCCGCTCCTTCCTGATCGTGCAGACTGGCCTTGAGCTTCGGAAGTCCGAACATGCGTTGAACGGCCGTGTAATGCGTGTTGTCGATCGTGTCGAACCCCAGTGCGTCGCAGAGCACGCCCCTTGCCGCGATCCAAACATTCCTAGAGTCAACGCAGTCGAAGAAGTAGTGCTCCCGATCGTCCTTGGGCGCTCCACAGACGAGGCACGCGGGCGAGTCGTCGTGCTTTTGATGAAACTGCAGACTCCGAGTCGGGGTGAAGTTCCTGACGAGCTTGAACCACACCTCGCGTTCCCTCGCCGTCAATGCCTTCGAGTTGACCCCCTTCCAGAATCCCTTGAGATCGTCGGGCTGCAGCGAGTCCCTGAAACCGATCGTGTCGGTGAAGGCCTTTGCATTCAAGACTCGGCGGACGCGACGGATGGTGTATGGCCGATCCATGCTGAGCAAGTTGTATTGTGTTGATTGGTCTGGGAGAGCCGGTCTCGGAAGGCGCTGCGGCGGGTCGATCGGATGGGGCAGGATCGACTCGAGCGGCGTGGTGGGGCGGACTCGGGGAGGCCCGTTGATTCGTACTGCCGCCACCGGTTGAGCTATTGGTGTGAACCTCAATCGATTGATCGCATGTCGGTACCATGCCACGATGTGCTCTCGTTGTGGGCGGCCCCGTTGATCGTATTCGCTGTTGCTGACGACCACATCCGTCGGCGGCGTCCAGAGATGAAAGCCCCCGCCCGGGTACAGCTCGCGTCGAAACAGGTCCGCTACCTTGGCGTAAATGGCAAACGCAGCATAGTCGGCGTCGTAGGGTGGTCGCGACACAGCTGGTGCTCCCGGTAGGTAGTGAAGGGTGTGCAACTTGATCGGAAGAGCGAGAAGGTTCGCGAGCGTCAACGTCCTCGGCTTGACTTGCGCATTGTGCGTCGATGGTACCTTCAGCACGGCCTGCCATCTTGGGTGTAGATCGGTTCGGATCGGAGTGTAGTCGCAAGGCCACGCATCGGTTGCCAAGTCAAAGTCGGGGGCGGGATGGGCTCGTACAATCGCCGCGCGCGCAAGTCCCTGCCAGATCGCATCCGAACCGCCAAGAAGCACGTCCCAGACGCGTGCCGCAACCGAGTCGACGACGTCCTGCATCCGCATGACCCCAAGACCCCCCTTGAACCTCGGTGTGAAGACGACGTCCTTGCCATAGCACGACCTCCTCTTGCCGCCGCGGACAAAGTCGGCGAGAATGCGATCAAGCTCCTTGACGACCTCGAGCGGTGGGATGTCGGCGGAGAGGATGTGCAGAATCTTGGGAATGGCGTATCGGTTGACGTAGAACGCTCGGGTGTGGTGTGTGAGCCCTCGGTCCCGTGCCGAATCGAGCACCGCTTCGAGCCGTGCGACGAGATTCACGTTGGCGAGTTCGGTGTTGCCGGTGGGGTCGAAAGATAGGCCGATCCACTCGAGCGACTCGCCCTCGGCCTTGACGACGAGCGGACGATCGCCAGCCTCCCAGCGACACCCGATGGGTAGTACGACGGTCTTGTCGGTGTTGAGCCGGCCATTGGTTGCGAGCCTCCAGTCGAGCGCCAGGTCGTCGAGCAAGTTGAGTGACTCCGAGCCCGCGACAGCGACGACGACGTCATCGGCAAACGCAAGGGATGTAATAGCGCGGCTCTGTGGGTAGGGGTGAATGGTAGGAAGCGAGAGGTTCAGCGCGATGCCTCGACGGTGCAGAGCATCCAGGAACGGCTGGAACACGACATCCCAGACCGACGACGACGCCGGGTCCCCTTGGCCGAGCCCACACGTCAGCCGCACCGGCGGAGTCAAGAAGCCGTTGATGATATATCGCGCCGTGGTTGAGTCACCCGAGTAGAGCATCCTCAGAACGCGTTGGAAGGCGGCAGGAGCGCCGAGAGCGTCGAAGATGGCGAAGATCCATTCGTGCTCGACGAGGTCGTAAGCCGACGATTGGTCAAGAGACAAGAGCGCCGCGTCAGGGAACTCGGTGCCGCGCGCGCCCAGCTCTTCGATCAAGAGTCGCAGGTGGAATGACGCGTCCGCCGATCGGCGGCCCTTGACGAAGCCGTGCTGTTGCGGTGGGAGCAGGTCCGGCAGCACGTGGTTGAGTCGCGCAACGTAGACCTTGTGACAGGCAACGTCGGAGGGGATGACGATGACTACACGCGAGAGACGAGGGAGAGAGCGAGAGAGCGCGCGAAAGCGCGAAGGAGCGAAGGGGGTGTCGACCGAGGCGGCGGCAGTCGACCGAGAGGCAACCGCGGAGGATACGCGGCTGCAAGGCTCGCAGCAAGTCCAGTGTACCGAACTATGGTAGCCAACGAGGTCGGACAGAAGAGGGAGGGCAAACGATCCAAGAAATAGCTGACCAGGCCGGTGGGAAGGTCGAGTCGGCTGGGCGGCGGAAGTCGACCGAGAGGCAACCGCGGAGGATACGCGGCTGCAAGGCTCGCAGCAAGTCCAGTGTACCGGACTATGGTGGCCAACGAGGTCGGACAAAAGAGGAAGGGCAAACGATCCAAGAAATAGCTGACCAGGCCGATGGGAAGGTCGAGTCGGCTGGGCGGCGGCAGTCGACCGAGAGCAACCGAGGAGTGGATTCGGTCGGAAGGCTTCGCAGCAAATCAAGTGTAACGGACTTAATTGCCAGCGAAATGGGTAAAAAGAGGGAGGGTACGAGTCATGATAATGAGTGGACCAAGCTCTAGGGGAAGGGTGGCAAAAGCAAAAGGAGGGAAGTGCTCCGAGCGAAGGAAAGACTGAATCAAATAACTACACCACGAGGTCGCTTCAGGGGTAAAAAGGATTGCCTGCAAGGCACCGGTAAAAACCCCGAAGCCGGGCCTCGGATAACAAAAAGGAAAAGAAACCAAAAGGCAGATCACGCTCCGGGCGGATCGAACCCTCGACCACTGAGTGCGCGCCCGCGCGCCCTCACGACTACACCATCGCGCCGACAATGCTTGCAACGAACAAACCGGTAGCTGATGTCGACTCCGGCCGCAAACTTGGGAGACTTCCTTCGAGTATTGATGGCAGTGCAGGCTGTGCTCCTGACACCTTGGTGAAGAGCTTGTAGTCGCACTCGCGCAAGGTGATGGGCCGGTACGACGAGAGCTCGGCGCGATCGGCCCCGATCTTGTGGTGCTTGAAGAGCAGGCGAGCGAGTCCTTGCCCCTGCTTCGGTGAAAGCGAGCCGCGCTCGGTCATCGCGTTGAAGGCCCTGCTCAGCGCCTTGGCCCACGCCCGCGGCGCTGTGTGATAGAGCTCGTAGGGCACGCCAGATGGACCCGGCGATCGACCGGGGTGTGTTGTTGCGATTGCGGCTACGACCTCGTCCTCGGTGATGGGTTGCTGCAGCAGCTCGATGTGCGCTTCCGAGAGTCGTCGCAGAAAGAGCGGGTCCGAGCTCGGGTCATCGCAAGTGCGCGCCGACCTGATCGGCGCCAAGAAATCGTCCCTAAGTCGCTCGACGTGGTCCCGATCGCGCGGCTCGAGATCGTAGAGGCGCTGAAAGTGCGCCTGTGTGTGGTCAAGCGCGACGTCAATGTCATGTGTCAGCTCTCCGTTGGGCAATCGCAGTGCTGTGATCTTGGAATCCGAACTCCGTGCCGCGAGCTTGGCGTGGACCGGCCGCGACAGTCGTTCCTCGGTAGCGATTTCAGGTACGTGGGCTCGGATCCGAAGTTGGCGCGCGCGCTCGTTGACCGCTCGCCTAAGTTCCTCCGTCGTCCGCGTCCATTCGGCCGTCTCCTCGTCCCCCATCACCGCAATGCCTCCAGATCCTGCACCCTTCCCACCAAGACCGCCATCCGCTCCACCCGCTCCCGATGCTCCCTCCTCGCCAGCTCCCGACCCTCCTTCGCGCAGTTCCCCAGCACCACCTCGAGCTCCCCCACCGGTTCCTCCCCACTCGCTCCTTCCAACCATCCTTCCAACATCCCCTGGAACTCCGCCGTCTTGAAGGTCGCCGCGTTGATACGATGTAATTGGTTTGATGTCGTTGGTAAACTGTTGTTGGGTTGAGCCGCGTCTCCTCGCTCATCCGAGAGAACTAGGATGATTGAGACCGGTCGGTGATCCGAAAGGTCCTTGGGGTGGTCGTAGATCGTCGAGGCTTGGACGAGTCGCTTTTGGTGGGTGCGCTGCAGAAGGAAGTAGTCAAGTCGTGAAAAGGACTTTGGTCGCTTGCGGATGATGTTGGGTCGAGTGAAAGATGGTGTGAGCGGGTGTTTGAATCGTATGCAGTCAGTGTAGGGCGAGTCGAGCTTGCCGATCAGGATCGGCCAGTGATGGCCGTGCCGACCTTGGTTCCACCGATCGATCGCCGGCAGCGGGCAGTCGTTGAGATCGCCGCCGAGGAGTCGAAGGTGGGTGCTCTGCGTCCTGTGGAAATGTAGTTTGTCAAAGAATGTGAGTCGTTGTTTTGTATCGACTGGTGCGTAAATGTTGTTGATCTCGAGTATCCGGATGTCGCCTCGAAGTCGAAAGGAGGTGACCAGGATTCGTCCGTCGAGTGCCGAGTGGGTGCGCAAAATCTCGGTGTCGATCAGGGGCGAGTCGGCGGGGATCAGAGTCAGACAGTGTTTGCTGATGAAGACCTTGCCCTCGTACTCGTCCTTGATACATTGCCAGAGTTCCGGTTTGATGAAGTGTTCTTGTAGTAGAATGGCGGATGCTTTGAATGTTGATAAATAGGTGTAAATGTTGCGTCGCTTTTCCGGGATCCCCATGCACCTCCTCACGTTCCAGCTGGTGATGGTGTGCTTGATCATTATTGGGTAGACGATGTAGACGTGCTCTTGGCGGTAGTGTCGTCCTCAAAGAGTGGGAATTCGGGGAGAATGTCATCCTCGGGCTCGTGGTCGGACCAGCGCTTCTCCTCCTCCACCCCTTTACCCTTCTCCGCTTTCGCCTTGGCCCCCTCGACCTGCATCGCCGCCGCCGCCGACATCGACCTCGTCACCCTCTTCCCCTGACCCGCTACCTCCTTTCCTGCTTGACCTTTGACCCTGTTCAGAACGCGCTTGATATCGACCGGGTCGTCGCTCGGATCGCTGAGATCGGCCACCGTTTGCGACCTCTTCATCTTCTTGTTCGACCCGGAGCCGGTGCCATGAATGTTGATGAATCGCAGTTGTCCATCTTCCTGACCCCACTCTGCAAATTGGTGGCGAACGAGCGGTTCCTCCGCGTCGAGTTGGGCGTTGATGATCGCCTCCTTTTCTGCTTGGACACGTGCAGCAGCTTCGGTGTTAGCTCGGTCCCACTCCGCACCCTCGCGCAGCGACTTTGCCAACGTCTCAGGAGATAGTGGAGGCCACGAGGGACTCCGAGGAGTCGACTCGCGGGAAACCGTGGTGATCGTCGTTTGGTCGTCGTCGATGATCATGATGCTGTCGTCCTGTACCCCCTGTTCCTGCTCGACCTCTTCTTCCACCTCCGTCTCCGTCCCTTCGTCCTCCTCCTCTGCTCCATCTTTCATCACGTCATCCCCATCGTTTCCTTCGTCCTCCCTTTGTTCGCTTCCCTCCGAGCTGTCGTCCTGTTCGTCCTCGTCGTCGTCCTTGTCGTCGCCTCCCGCCTTGTCGATGCCCGCTCCGGCGTTCCCATCCGAGTCCGAATCCTCGTCGTCCGCCTTGGCGCCCGTATCCTCGTCTCCTTCTTCGACCTGCTCCTTTTCCTCGCCCTCCTTTCCTGCATCCTCCTCCTCGACGTCATCCTCCTGTCCTCCTTCGACCTCGAGCCCCGCAAATCGGTTCTGCAATTCGAGTTGGTCGGTTCCGAGGGCGCGGCTAGGGGCCACAACCTCGGAAGCGTCGTTGTCGGTGTTGGTTGGGTTGTTGTGGTACTTGTTGTGCCTTCCGGTGTTGTTGTTCGCTTCCTTCTGCCTCCTCTCCTGTTCCAGCGCGCAGGTCTCCACATGCCCCACAAAGTGGCACCGAGCACAGGCCGCTTCTCGTTCGTAGTCGTGACGAACCGCCGTATGCATGTTGCCTCTAGTGGCTAGAGAGACCTTCGACGGTAGGAGCTCCTTTAGCGTGTTGTTAGGGGCTTTGAAAAGGGCGTCGTCGTCGAAGCGGATAAAGGCCGAAAACTCGCCGGCCAAGTGCGCATAGGCCGAGTCGTTATCGACGTGGATCACGCGCAAGACTTGTACCAGCTCGCAACGGTGTCCCTTGGCTGTGATTTTGGTGACAATTGATTTAAAAGAGTCAACAATGGCATCCCTGGATGGGACCGCTGCGACACCGACGTTGATACGCAGCTCAACCATGTTGTGGTAGAAGTGGTGGGCCTTTGCGAAGTGAGCCTTTGCAGAGTGCCAAGTAAGCGCCAGTGGGGCCGTAAGCGCCGAGTCACGTGCCTTCGCCGAAACGAATCCCACGGAGATACGGTGGTTGACCACACCGGCCCTGACGAAAGACGAGTGTTGGATACCCCTAATCTGGGGCGCAAACGCCGCAAGGTGCTCGGGAAGGGTGACCTCGGCGTCGAAGCACAGGGGCGATTGCGGGGAGAGCAGTCTCGTGACGCAACCGAGCAGATCGGCCTTGTCCGCGGGAGAGGCCTTCGAGGCGCCTTGGACGGTCAAAGTGACGTCGAGAGCAAAGTCGAAGATGTTTCGAATGGATCGATTGGCGTTGAGAGCCGAATACTTGAGCGATGTAGCGGTAGCGACAGGGTACTCGTCGGTGGCGAAGGTGGCTTGCAACCACCGGTCGGTGTGATTGCCCGGTACAGCACCCATGACTTCGAACATTTGGGTCAAAGCCTTGGCACGGTGTTGTTGTTGGGTCTGCTGCTCGGGAGTCTGCTTAGTCTTTTGAATCGCGGCGGTGGCGTAGGTCGCGGCGGCGATAGGGACTTGCGTCTCCTTTGTCCCAATCGGGACGCTCGTCGCCGCGGACGCCGATGGTGGGGGTGGGCCGGTCTCGCCGGTCTCGCCGGTCTCCATGCTAATGTAGGCTGATGTATCACTTGTAGCTTCGAAGGTGGTGGGTGGCGCGATTTCGAAAGTGAAAGTGAAAGTGAAAGTGGTCTTTTTTTTTTTGTAGATTTTTTTTTGTAGACTTTTTTTTTTTTTGTAGAAAACGTTCATCATATTGCCCCCAATTCCTGTTCCCCCTGTTTCGGCCTACGGAAAAACTAGATGGAAGACTACGATGATAACACAAACCGCCCGCAAAAGTGCGAGAAACGAGCCAAGTCCACCAATCCGAGATTCGGATTCAAATGCCCTAGCCAAGCGGTTGCTCCCCCCAGGAGACGAATGAGAGAGAGAAAGAGATGAAGAGAAAGAGAAAGAGAAAGAGAAAGAAAAGAAATGTACTAACGACAGAAGGCCCACCCCACAGCCACTTCCCACTCGGTCGAGACGAAGACAAGAGCACGACTGCGCAACCACCACGACCCTCGACGCTCCAAGTCTCTGCTCAGTCACAACAAGACGCGGTGAAGGTCCCTCAAAACCTCCCCCTCGGCAGTCCCTGGCCCCTCAAAGCCGACTTTCTGCCTGTGTCCGCTGATCCCTCCCTTGACTCAGAACCCCGAAGCCGAAGAGCGCGAGCCACACCGAGTCGACGCCAAATCGCGAGATGGTCCATGATCCGCAACGGTGAACCTGTAACAAAAGAAAGAGGAAAGCGAGCTATTTAGTGTACAGTAGGAGAAAATGATGTCACGAGAATTTGGTGTGTGTGTGTGGTGGTGGGGGGAAAGTCGAACCCAGCCTCTACTGCCTTCTCCTCCCCCAAGCTCCTCCCGCCCTCAGCTTCAACCTCTCCTCCAAGATTATCCTCCTCCTCCCAACACCCTCCATCCTCGTCCCCCACTTCTGCATCCCCCACCTCCCGCTGCTGATCATCTCCAAGACCAGCTTTTTTTTTTTTTTTTTTTTTTGTAGAAACTGTTCATCATATTGCCCCCAAGTCCTGTTCCCCCTGATTGGCCTACGGAAAAACTAGATGGAAGTCGACGATGATAACACAAACCGCCCGCAAGATGCGAGAAACGGGCCAAGTCCACCAATCCGATACTTCGGATTCAAGTGCCCCAGCCAAGCGGTTGCTCCCCCCCAGGAGACGAATGAGAGAGAGAAGAGAAAGAGAGAAAATGAAAAAGAACTGGCGTACTAACGACAAGAGGCCCACCCCGCACCCACTTCCCAACTCGGTCGAGACAAAGACAGGAGAGCGACTGCGCAGCTACCCTGACCCGCGAAGTCCCCAAGTCTATGCTCGGTCACAACAAGACGCGGTGGAGGCCCCTCAAAACCTCCACCTCAGCAGTCCCTGGCCCCTCAAAGCCGACTTTCTGCCTGTGTCTGCTGATCCCTCCCTTGACTCAGAACCCCGAAGCCAAAGAGCGCGAGCCACCGTCGAGTCAATCCCAAATCGCGAGCCGGTCCATGAGCAACGGAGGCAGACCTGTAATAAAAGAAAGAAAGATGAAGAAAATATATTTAGTATACAGTTTTTGTAAGAGGATGTGTGATGTGGGGTGTGTGAGTGTGGGATCGGGTGGGGGGAAATCGAACCCAGCCTCTACTGCCCTCGCCCGCCCCTTGCTCCCCCCGCCCTCAACTTCATCCTCTCCTCCAGTACCACCCTCCTCCGCTCCAGGCTTTCCATCCTCGTCCCGTGCTTCTGCATCCTCCATCTCCCACTGCTGATCATCTCCAAGACCATCCCCGTGAAGATCTCGATCGTCCTGCCTGCGCCTTCCTGTTCGCTGAGCTTGGCCTTGAGCTTGGGGAGGCCAAAGAGTCGTTGTAGTGTCGTGTACTCGGCGTCCTCGATCGTGTCGCATCCGAGCGCGTCGCAGAGCACGCCCCTTGCCGCGGTCCAGATGTTCCGCGAGTCGACGCAGCCGAAGAAGTAGTGATCGGTGTCGTCCACCGGCGCTTCGCACACGAGGCACGCGGGAGAAGTGTCGTGCTTTTGCTCGTGCTGGAGTTTGCGCGTCGGGGTGAAGCGGAGGATCAGCTTGAACCAAACTTCCCTCTCCCTCGCCGTCAGTGCCTTCGAGTTGACTGCCTTCCAGAAGCTCCTGAGGTCGTCCGGCTGCGGTGGTCCCTTGAGCCCGAGCATGTTGGTAAATGCCTTCGCGTTCAGGACCCGGCGGATGCGACGGACTGTGTAGGGGCGAGCCATGTTCAGCAGCGTATACTGGCTCGCCTGTTGTGGAAGCACCGGGTCCGGAAGGCGCTGCTCCATTGCGAAGCGGGCCACGGGCTTGGGGATGATCGCCTCGAGTGGTGCGCTGGTGCCGATCCGGGGAGGCACGTTGAGTCGTCCCGCCGCCACCGCCGCCGCCAAGGGGGTGTTCTTGTGTCGATCGACAGTGAACCGGTACCAGGCCGCGATTGCCAGTCGCTGCGGGAGCCCGCGTCGATCGTACTCGCTGTTGTCGCCGAGCACATCCGCCGGCGGCGTCCAGAGGTGAAACCCCCCACCCGCATACAACTCGCGTCGATAGAGATCCGCCACCTTCGGGTAGCCCTGGAGACGAAGGTAGTCAGGTACATGAACCGCGTCGATGGTCTGTCTCCCTCTGATGGGGGTGTGGAGGCTGCCGAGCAGGGTGGGCAGCGCGAGCAAGTTCGCGGTGGTCAAGGCCCTCGGGTTGACCTGCGCGTCGTGAAGTTTCGGAACGCCCAGTGCGGCGTGCCATCGGGGATGAAGGTCGTTGGGGATGGGAGTGGATGGATGTGGCCAGAGATCGGTGGCCAGGTCGAGGTCGGGCTGAGCTCGCTGGAGTGATGCGCGCGCAAGTCCTTGCCAAATCGCGCCGGAACCGCCGAGAAGAACGTCCCAGAGCCGTGCCGCAACCGCGTCCACAACGTCCCGCATCCTTATCACCCCGAGTCCCCCCTTGTTCTTGGCGGTGAACACAATGTCTCTGCCGTAGCTGGTCCTGCCCTTGCCCCCACGGACGAAATCGACGAGCATGTCATCGAGCTTCTTGACGACTTCGGGCGGCGGGATGTCGGCTGCAAGGAAATGCAGGATCTTGGGAATGGCGTACCGATTGACGTAAAAGGCACGGGTGTGGTGCGTGAGCCAGCGATGCTGAACCGCTTCCAGCGTCGCCTCGAGCCGTTCGATGAGATTCGCGTAGGCGAGTTCGGTGTCGCCGCTGGGGTCGAAGGGGAGGCCGATCCACTCGAGCGACTCGCCTGCGGCCTTGACGACGATTGGCCGTTCCCCAGGGTCCCAGCGACGTCCAATCGGTAGGACGACCGTCTTGTCCGTGTTGAGCCGGCCATTCGTTGCATGCCTCCAGTCGAGCGCCAGGTCATCGAGCAAGTTGAGTGACTCCAAGCCCGCGACGGCGACGACAACGTCATCGGCAAATGCAAGTGATGTAATGGCGCGGCTCTGTGGGTACGGATGAAGTGCAGGTATGGAGAGATTCAGCGCGATGTTTCGACGGTGTAGAGCATCCAGGAACGGCTGAAACACGATGTCCCAGACCGACGATGACGCCGGGTCCCCTTGGCCGAGCCCACACGTCAGTCGCACCGGCGCCGTCAGGAACCCATTGATGATGTAGCGCGCCGAGGTCGAGTCACCCGAGTAGAGCATCCTCAGCACGCGAAGAAAGGTGGTAGGAGCGCCCAGAGCGTCGAAAATGGCAAAGATCCAGTCATGCTCGACGAGGTCGTAGGCGGATGATTGGTCAAGAGACAAGAGCGCGGCCGCGGGGAACTCGGTCCTGCGCGCGCCAAGTTCCTCGATCAGGAGACGAAGGTGTAGTGCAGCGTCGGCCGATCGGCGGTCCTTGACGAAGCCGTGCTGCTGCGGCGGGAGGAGATCGGGCAGAATTTGGTTCAATCGGGCGACGTAGACCTTGGTAAAAATCTTGTAATCGCACTCGCGCAGGGTGATGGGGCGATACGACGAGAGTTCGGCGCGATCGGCATTCTTCTTGTGGCGCTTGAAGATGAGGCGCACGAGTCCCTGGCCCTGCTTGGGAGAGAGTGAACCGCGCTCGATCATCGCGTTGTAGGCCTTGGTCAGCACCTTGGACCACGCCTCCGGTGCGGTCTGATAGAGTTCGTAAGGCACGCCCGACGGGCCCGGCGATCGCCCCGGGTGCGTCGTCCCGATCGCGGCCACGACCTCGTCCTCGGTGATGGGTTGCTGGAGGAGATCAATCTGCGCTTCCGAGAGTCGGCGCAGAAAGAGCGGATCTGAGCGCGGGTCGTCGCAAGTCCGTGCCGCCCTGATCGGCACGAGGAGTTCGTCCCGAAGTCGGTCGACGCGTTCCAGATCACGAGGCTCGATGTGGTAGAGGCGCTGGAAATGCGCCTGCGTGTGGTCAAGAGCGACATCAATGTCATGCGTTAGCTCTCCGTTGCCCAAGCGCAGTGCTGTGATCTTGGAGTCCGAGTTCCGCGCCGCGAGCTTGGCGTGGACCGGCCGCGACAGTCGTTCCTCGGAAGCGATCTCGGGGACGTGGGCTCGGATCCGGAGTAGGCGCGCGCGCTCCTCGACCGCCCGCTTGAGTTCCTCGGACGTCCTTGTCCATTCTGCCGTTTCCGCCTCCCCCCATACCGGTAACGCCTCCAGATCCTGCACCCTCCCCACCAAATACTCCATCCGTTCCGTCCGCTCCCAATGCAGCCTCCTCGCCATCTCCCCACCCCTGTCCCTGCACGCCTCCAGAACCTCCTCAAGCTCTCGCACTGGATCCTCCCCGCTTGCCCCTTCCAACCATCCTTCCATCATCCGCTGAAATTCCACCGTCTTGAAGGTTGTGGTATTGATTCGATGTAGTTGGTCGGATGTGGTAGGTAGGCTGAGCTGTGGGAGAGCCGCATCAAGATCGTCTGAGAGAGCTAGTACGATCAAGACCGGTCGGTGATCGGAAAGATCCTTGGGATAGTCGTAGATCGTCGAGGCCTGGTCGAGCCTTTTTTGGTGAGCTCTTTGTAGGAGAAAGTAGTCAAGC